ACCCGGCACGCGTGTGTCTGGTTTGTGTCGTTTACCTGTCTAGGCCTGAACTTGGTGTATTTGGCCACCCTGACTATAAGAGTGGCGCGTCAGTGAGGGGAAGATCTCAAAAAGCAAGTGCAAAGTAGGATGAGAGGAGGCAGTCTGGAAACCTGAGGCACCAGTCCCCATGGCGAGGCGGACGAGCGGATCAGGCCCGGGTGAGCTGCGGTTGCGGATTTTGGGAGCCCCAACTTCCCAAGCCCCGGCTGCAAAAACGCTTCTCCACCCCCCCCCCCCCCCCCCCCCCCCCCCCTCCGCTCGCTTTCTTTTGTCAGAGCGAGAGACACTAAAACTCCACCCCAAGAAACCTGACCAGCAGTTCGCAGGCAGCCGCAAGCCCTCACTGCGGGCGACATAGCCCATGGGACATTTGTCGGAAGCATCCAGGAGCGACGGGGCTTTAGGGACTCTTAGGGCTTTGGGCTGCCATGTTTTGGGATTTTAGGGGTTTGCTTTTGGCTTTTGGTTTTCGAGATTGGGCGCTTGCAGTCCTTTGACCCTGCTACCGTTCTCATGATCATCTTGAAGGTAATCCTGACTTTTTCCTGTGGTTATTATCATGGTTCTCGATTGCAAAAGTACAATTCTCATCATCAGAATTACTATCTGAGCATTGTTATTTGTTGCTAGTTGTTCCCCACCCTCGGTGCTGGGTTTTGTTTTTAAGTGAACCATTCTTCTCGCCCTCCTGGCCCGTTGTCCTGCCCGGTCTCGTGGCCTGAGACCCGACACAGGAGCCGGGCGAGGCGTTACCTGTCCGAAAGCAGTAGGTTGGCTCCGGTTATAGCTATAGGATGGGCATGTTCGAAGTCAAGTCAAGGAAGTAATTCAAGGCGTTTGCTATGTCCACCCACGCGTGACGACGTGACATCAGGGTGTGCTAGCTTGAGCCTGCTTCGTCTGACCCACATCACGGCTGACCCACGCTGCAACCTGAAGCCCACTCCACCTTCCGCACCGCATCTCCGGCCTCCGCCGCAGGAGAGTTGGGCCCGAACGCGGCCTCCTCTGAGCAACGAGCGTCGGAAGGTTCTCAGGCCCTTTTGATGGGGAGGGCTTTAAGGACGAGTTCCTGCGGAAGCTCCCCGAGGTGTCCGAGATTCGAGCTGCTTCAGCTCTCCCGGTTACCTTCTCGAGGCCCACCAGGTTAAAAAAGGGAGCAAGTGCTTGAGCATCCAGGCTCAGAAAAGACCCTGCTGAGGGTCTTGTGGTTTCGCCCCGAAAGTTCCTCGAAGAAGCCTCAACCTTACAAGTCCTTTGGACTTGTAGGGTCTTGGGGGTCTTCGGGAGCCAGAGGCCGCAAACCGGAACCTGCGACCTCAACCTGTTACGGTCACAAAAAGATTGGCCCAGCACGATTCGGACTTCAGACTTCTAGGGCGTTGTGTCAAAGTGGGCTGAAAATAATCAGGGTTCATGCTTTACGGTTTAGGGTTGCGGATCTGAAGGGCATGTCTGAACACATCGAGCCCTCCAACTTCGCACGAAGCCGCCTCCCTAAACCCGGCAGACGTCATCAGAAGGGTTCAAGCACTTTTTGTCTGAGGGATTTAGGACTTTAGGATTTGGCGTGACAGGGGTGATAGGGGTGACAGGGATCCTGGCACCTTCAGCAGGGTTCAAGCACCTTGGAGGTAGGTCGCAATTGAAGGAAAGAAGGGCATTGACGTTGAGGCCTGACAAATGGCTGAGGCTACGGACTGGAAGCTGAGATCTGGTGCCAACCCAGCCTTAGCAATCCTCCTCAGATGCCCATCTTACAACCTTAACCCTCTAAATGCAACAGCCCTATAGACCCTGAAGCATAAACCCTACCTTAAGAATACCCAACCTGGCTCGGCTTCTTGCCTTTGCCCGGCGCAGCGTGCAAAGTGTAGGCGTCTGCCATACCGACAGGGCATGATAGAGCTCCGACGGTCTGGAGAGGTTTATACCCGATGTCGTAAACCTCCCCCCCCCTGAAGCCTGAATCCCCAAAGCCGAGCACTCCCAGCCCCGAAAGCACACAGCTCTAACGACCGGCCGGGGTAGCAGACTTTGGGTTCATCACGCTGCAAGCCCCGTAGATCCATGAAAGCCCCAAATCCTTCAAAAGGCCCATCGCCGGAAAGTCTGAAGTCGATTCTATTTCTACCCGAAAGCCCCAGGGGCCCTTCTCCTGAGCTGCCAGAAGCATCTAGGTTCAGGGTTTTTAGGGTTGAGGGTTTAGGGTTTTAGGGCTAGGGCTGGCTAGGCGTGAGGGGTGCTCTTTGGAGAGAGGGTTAGTTGGGATCCCCTTGTAGTCCCCTTTTTTGCGGGCTTTTGTGGACCCTTTGCGCTTGCACGCGTCAGAGATTTGGCTCCAAGTTGGTCTTTGCTTGCTGCCCTGCCTGCTCAATGGGGTGTGGTTCTGTGCCTTGGCAAGTGTCGACTCATGTAAAATTGTCTGGGCTACCTCTGCGTTGAGGGTTTTGGGGTTTGGGCCTGGCGCGTTTCCTGACTGGCAGCACTGGTGTTGCTGCCACCGTGTCTTTCTGCACAGCTGTTTACGATCGTCGCCATCGCTGGATGTCTCTGAGGCGAGAAATATTGAGGAGCAGAATCGCGCGAACGCCGGCAGCTGAGGTGTAAAAGGAGTGCTCGGGCTTTGCAACGATGTATGGCAAGTTTCTCTTGCCCTAGCAGCGGCTTTTGCTTCCGAGTCGGCGCTAGAGCCCGCCTAGACCATGAAACTTAATGAAGCTCTGCAGCCCTGAAACCCTTGCACCCCCAACACCCTAAGCCCTCAAACCCGACCGAAACCCCTGAGCCCTGAAACCCTTCCACCCTCAGACCCTAAGCCCTCAAGCCCTTCCAACCCTTTCAAACCCTTCAACTTGGGATGTCATCCCCCTTATACTAACAGTCCTTAGTAGGGTACCCCCCTAGTCTAATCCCTAATATGGACTGTTAGCTTAAGGGGGAACATCCCATCCCCACCTTCAACCCTAGAAGCCCCCGAAGCCTGGCCGAGGTTGAGGCCATGAGTCGAGCGATGGCATCACCCCAAATGCAGCAGATGATGGAGCAAAGCTCCCTGTCTGGGTTTGGGTTGAATGGGTTTACGGGGGTTGAATTCTATAGGGTTTCGCCGAGGTTTCGCAGGGTTTAGCAGGGTTCTGGGGGAGGTTTAGCAGGGTTCTGGGGAGGTTTAGGGTTAGGGCGTTTGGGCACAGGATCCGTAGCTTCAAAATGCGGTTTCAGGTTCGGCCGGCGCCAAGTGTGACTGGAGGTCACGGTCTTTTAGAAGCTTCTGGGTGAAGTGGCTGAAGGTTTTGGGTAGGCTTTGTAGGGTTTAGGGTCTGAAAGGTTCAGGTTGAAAGCTGAGGTGTCCACTCAGAAGGAGTCTGTTTTGCAGGCTTTTGCGTTCTACGCGCCCGGATAAGGCTTCCAAGAGGGGGCCTTCTTAGCACCCATGAAGCTTCTAGAACCGACTCCTAAAGTCTGCAAGCCCTAAACCTTTGCTGATAGCCCTGAACCCTCAGACGTAACGTCTTCAAGTTTGCGGGGGGGAGGGGGGTCGTCTTGGGGCCTTCACACTTCAAAGATATGACCCTAAACCTTCGACAGCCCAGGCAGGCAGATGATGAGCGACCCACGGATGCAAGCAATGCTTCAGCAGCAAATGAGCGATCCCAGAACGCAACAGATGATGCAGCAGATGATGGCTAGCTGCTTGGCTGCAGGGGTTTACCCTAACTAGGCCTAACTGAAAGACAGCAGGTGCACGTTCGGTACCCCGGAATCAACGCGAAACCTCCCGCTCCCCCCACCCCCCCGCGGCCAGGGACAGAATGGTCCCCTGTTCCTGCGGAAGCCGCTAGTTAAATTGAAACCTGTGCCATAGGAACAAAAGCAGAGAGCCGCTAAGTACCGGCCAGATTGGGGGGCTCACAGGCATAGAGCTCAGGACTACATCCCCCTTATCCCCCTTCCCCCAAGAACAGCTTTCCACAGAATGACTTGGGGGGGAGGGGGGTGGCGGGCGACTCCGTTTCTTGGACGGTTGCCAAGCTTACCATAATTCGAAGTCGACACTGCTTAGGGTCCATATCTTGATATTTGTTTGACAACCTTAACCCGAAACTCGAAGCCCATTTGAGACTGAAGGCCTTTGCCTTATCCGCCTCAGGCAATCCGGCGCTAGCGGGTCAAGTGGGTCAAGGCCTTTTGGCACAGCCAGGGCTCCCCTTGTCCCGGCATGTGCGGCGATGTATTTTAGGATCGGCTCTCCACGTGCTCAGCAATATAGGGCCACAATATGGGTTCGGGGTTGGAGGGTCGGTTCAGGGTTGGGGGTTCATGGCCCAAAGCCCTTCACTCCTCGACACTGTACCGTTTGACTCTCCCACTCCTAGGCAGTCAAAGCTAAGTCTCCTCAAGCTGGGGTAGAGCACCCCTCCCCAACTTGCCGGGGACCTGCCGAGTAGCCCTCGGAATGCGCCGAAAAGCCCTAGGATGGGCCACTGGCAAGTAGAGGGGGGGAAGGGCGTGTAGAGTTTTGAGTTCTTGCTGCGAAGCTTGGAGGCCCTGGAGGCTACATGTGTCCGGCACCCGTGCAGGTCGGCGGCTGGGCTGCACAGAGATGGGCAGCTGGACACTCTGCCCCGAATCCCTAAACCTGAGCCCGGACACAACAACGAAGCATAAAATGAACAATTGAGTTTGAGCCTGTCCCAATACAAGCCTACACAAACCCCTACAATTACCCTGATCCCCGAGAATCTGCTCAGGCCAAGCAGAGCCTGGGGTAGTGGAGGCCGCGGTGGTCCAGGCCGCAGTGGTGGCCCCGAGCTCACCAAGCGGTGCCAACTTCTGCACCAAGTGCGGCCACCCAGCCGCAAGTGGCGCCAACTTCTGCGGCAACTGCGGCGCCCAGCTTGCTGCAGCCTGACAAAGCATTCTCCGGCCTTGAGTATAGACGATGTTCGGTCCGGCTAAGCCGACTGTATGATGTCTGATAATGTCTGCTAGCGTGCTTGGCGAGAGCTCTCCAAGATAATCGCCTGCGCCCTCCATGGGCAACACGAGCAACCTTCGCGGCTTCAAAGCTGCCGTCTTGCAGGCGATGCCAGTGGTTGCGCTGCATCGTTGTTGCTGTGGGTTGCATTTTCCGGCGGCGCTGCGGCCCCGCGCAAAAAAAGCCTAGCGAGCGTAAGCTGTGCATGTAGCAGAAGCAGCTGAGCGAGGCCACGTGAGGAGTTCACCCGAATCCTCAGCCCCCTAGGCCTGCTGCCCTGAAACTCTAATCATCTAATCGTCTCAGCCGGGGGGGCCGTTGGGTTCAATTTTGGCTTGGTAGCCGAGTGGTACCCTTTACCCTTTTTTTTGGTTCTGGGTTCCCTTTTAAAGTAACCAACCCGAAAAAACGGGTGCCCTTATCTTAATTATGGTTGCTGGGCTACCAAGTTGGGTCTAGGCTTTTGGCCGATATCCTAGCACCCTTCTCCCTACGAGGTCCGGGCCTAGCAAGCTCGGTAAAAAAGGAGGTGGAGCGACAGTCACTTCTCGGGACAAGTACTACCAAACCTTCATGCCACACCCTCTGCTGGAGAGCAGGCAAAAACCTTTCACGGAGATACCGCAGGCGGCCAGTCTGCAACGCATGGTGCTACAAATGCTGCTTTTGCAGCAGCATGTTAGCCCGATTTTTCAGGGAACTGCTATCTCCGTGCAAGCTTTGCTCGCGCTCTTCATCGCTCCAAAACGAGAGAGAGGATGAAGGATGGAGGCAATACTCGGGAGGACACATCGAGCGTACGGGCGGTTGGTGCTCTCCAACGGACAGCTCGAAACCGTGGACGACGAGCAGCAATTTGGGGGGGGGGGGGGGGGGCTTTGAGGCCTTTCCAACCACACAAGAGTTTCACAGCAGCTAACACGGTCGCACGGAAGCCCTAAAAGGTTAAAACCTTAGATGTGTTGAGCCGCTTCCTTAGGTGTGAGGGTTTCTGCATTCCACGTTTCGGTAGTGCATTGAAACGACCGCTTGCCGCCCTCTGGCTCAGCTTGCAAACTGCGAGCTTGCCAAAACCGATTGGGCCGGCACAGGGCAGACATTGGACCCAACTTGGCATCTTAAGCCCCTGAGACTTTCAGCAAGTCGCACTTGTTTCAACCCAAGAGGCCAGTGCATGAGTTCTTAAGTCCTGTGTGCCCCATGTAGAAATACGATGCTAGGGATCAGTTTTACTTTCTAGGACACCACCAGGCAGCGTGGCAGCTCACCCCACCTACACAACCAGAGAATCGTTGCGTCGTAGCCTTCGGTGCAACTTTGCGCATCGGTGCCCTGAGATGCTCCAGGCGCAACTGAGGTCCTGAACTCGATAACCCCGTTGAAGCCAGACCTGATAGGGTTTCTGTGAGATTCCACGTTTGCGTGCTGCTGGCCAGAAATGGCCAGAATGCCCTGCCTCGAGGGCCTCGAGATTAATGCCCAACTGCAGATCTCAAATATCACTTCGGAAACCTGCGGGTCTGGGCTGTGGGGGTTTGTGGGGGTTTGGACCGTTGAGCCCTTGAATCGTCCTTCGCCTTAAGTGTAATGTGTCATAACGTAAGAATCCTTTCTTTTTACCCTACACCCTAAACCCAAATGCCAGTTTCAAGAATCCCGGGGCGGCTGTGGATGCACATCCTACCATGCATTGGTGCTTGGCATACCCCCCGAAACCCTAAACTCTAACCCTTGCTTCTGGTCTTTAGTCCTCGTCTTCAATGTTAGGATCCCAACCCTAACCACCATAGAAGACTCCACAAAGAAACCAGCAACCCAGCTCGAGCCGAAGTTTACAAAAGTCAGGCAATCAGGAAAAAATGGAAACAACAGCGCAAGAAGCCCGACGAACCATGCAATAGACCGCTAAACGCACTTGAAGCGCAAACAGACAGACACCCGCAGGCACCTGACCAGGGTGCTGGGTGCAAGATGCCACAGTGCCACTGCTGGGTGGCGGCGCGAAGGAGGGAGTTGGCGGTTTGACGGTTGATGGTTTTGCAGGGTTTGGCTTCTGGAAGATGTGGGTTTGTATGGTTCATAAGGTTTGTACAGGGCTGATAGGCTCATTAGGTTCATGGGGTTTGTGTGGTATATAGGGTTTAAAAAGTTTATTCGGCGTGCAGCGTTTAACATGTTTACAGGTTCAGAGTCTAGAGGGGCTCAGGGTGTTTGTGGTTCGTGTGCCCCCTGCAAAAAAGCGACATGCTTGGTTCTCTCTCCCATCTTCGGGGCCTTATGCTCCTTTACGTCAATGGTGCAGGGGGCCTCTAACTCTAACACGTTGCACCCAAACCCCCATTACCATGACGAAGCCTCTGCCAAAGGAGCCCTTCCACTCATGTCCTTTTGTATTTTACGTAAGGACTTTCGGAGGGCTCTCAGGATGTTGAGAGCAAGCTTACAGGGCCTTTATAGGGTGCCTGTATATAAGTCTTTAGTGCAGGGTGCAAGCCTCGCGGACTTTGCAGCATCTGCATTATATGATCTTCCAACCCCAAACCGTGAGCCCAAGTCAAACACCCTGAAACGTACACCGTGTGAGCCCCCAAGCACGCACTGAGCCCTTACAACAGTCACCAGAGCCCTATGAAACCCCTAAGCGCTGTGGAGCGCAGGATTGGCTGCCGATGACAGCCGCGGGGGGCGACCCCGCGAGCTCCAGCCGGGCACTCGGGGAAGGGATCTTGCTTCGAGGCGCCTTACCCGTACCAAAAAAGTATCACACACACACACACACACATACACACTCCCAAAGCCCTGAACCCCCGCAACCCCCGAACCCTTCCAGGAAGCCTTGAACCACTCCGCCCAAGGTGAGAGCAGCTCGTCCAGCTTAGACACCAGCGCCGGCCGCCCAGTTGTTCTGGAGGTTTTTTAGGCGCCTCAAAGGGGGGGCTTGAATTGTTTCGGGGGTTCAGGCTTCAGGGTATTTAGTGGAGTGAAAGCTTAGGTATGCCGGGTGTGTGAGGGTCTCCAGGCTCGGGCTTTGGGGGGTTAAGGCCTTTCTAGGGTTGCGGGCTCTTAGGTTTTTGCATTGGGATTTCAGCCTTGGCCGGCAGCCGCGGAAGCCATACCCTAAGCCTTAAGTAGTTCCCTGCCCTGAAACGCACAAGAGCCCCTCTGCCTTTGCCGCTGGCTCAAGCGCGTTCGCGCCAAGATGGAAGCCATCGAAGCAGTCAGTTGTCCGAAGCTCAGAACTGCGACTGCGACCCTCTCCCCCCCAAAAATACTGCGAACATCCCCACCTTGATCCTCGTCAAAAAGAAAGAATGCAAATAAGATGCTCAAACAAAGGAACGGAAACCCTAAACCCAAGGTCTAAAACCCTGGCAACCTGAGACCTTGGACCCCACACAGAAGCGATCCAAGCCACTGAACTCCACGCATCTGTCAGACCCGATGGAGGTTCCCCCTCCAAATCAAAAGGCCCTCCCTGCACGTATAGGCTTTAGGATGTCGGGTGTAGTGCTCAGAAGCGTTTAGTGTTTCTAATCATGGGGTTTTGCGTCCAGGGTTTAGGGAAGTTACGAGTGGTTGTTGTAGGGGCAACCTCCGACCTCTAGACCCGCGAACTTCGCCAACTTGCCCGTAGAGGTAAACGTCCTCGCCCTGACAGCATTGCCTTTTTTACACAGGATCTACACGGTTTAGGGTTTAGGAGGCAATCGCCAGAACATTCTCAGGGTTTGCGTTTGTGGGTCCTGCGCTTTATACTTCAGGGCGTGTTTTGCCTTACGGTTCCCTTAAACGCCAATCTGCCAAACGAGATCATAATCATCACCCCAAAAAGGCAGAAAGCAGGGACCCTAAGCCCCGCCCTAAAAACTGAAAGAAGCTAAGTCCCCTGAGGTAAGTGGCAACTACATCTCCGTGTGCTTGAGCCTTGCCTCGAGGCTCTCTAGAAGGCCAGGGTTTAGGGTTTAGAGTTTAGGATTTAGGGGTTAGGGTTTAGGGTGTAGGGTTTAGGGTTTAGGGTTTAGGTGTGGTTGTTCTCCCGTCAAGCTGCTGCCGTGGGAGGCCTGGCGTGAGGTCGGGATATGCATGGCTCTCGCCGTGGCTTGAAGTCTTTGAGCCTGGCCTTGTCCTCGCTCCCTGGGCTTTGAGACTTCATCTTCGGGGGGTTTTCGGGACCTACAGCTTCATTACAACCCTAAACCCTAAACCCTAAACCCTAAACCCTGAATGGGGGTAGTTTCGGGTTTCTTGGGTTGCTGCTCTTGGGGTTTTTAGAGGTTTAAGGAAAGTTTGAAATAAAGAAGAGAACATACACGCAGTTGCCCAAGGCTGGTGGCGGTCCTGGCCAGGTGCCTTGTCCAATTTAGGGTTCAGGGTTTAGGGCTTAGGGTTTCGGGTTGAAGGGTTTAGGGTTTAGGGTTGAGGGTTTAGGGTTTTCAAGATTGGTTCCCTCATGGTCTCAGCCGCCGGCCGCGATGCGATGGAACCTGTGAGGGTTCTGGGTTTTCCGTCGTTTCCACATTCCTTCTCGCATTGGCTGCGGCTGGTGTGGGAAATCGTTCTTGTAGATTTTGCATAAAGGCTTCGTTCTACACCCTGAATCTTCTTTGCATCCTTTGTTCTTGGCTTTGGGAGCACAATGCAGAGTCCGAACTGCTGAGGGATAAGGCCGTCCTTAAGCCCAATCCCTCCAACCCGTAGGGGCCTCAAGTAGGCTCCGAGTAGTCAACACACCTGATGTTGTTAGGGTAACTTGGGGGCTATCATTTTGGTACGAAAGCAATTTTTAGGGCAGAGCCCCAAACACAAACAAGTTGTGGAGATCCCGTGCTTGGAAAAGCAAGAGGGAGTAAGCTACCACCCAAATGCCCCCACCCCCCCACCCAAACCCTAAAGCGCCGAGAGCCCTACCCCCCGATCCCCCAAAACGGCGATCACTTGGCGAGGCAAACCCTCGAGGCGGCGGACGAGCTCGTGGACGCACCACGGCCTCTCGCGATTCGGGAAGCTCGGCGGAGGGCCTAAAAGCGCTCGCAATTCTACCAGAAGCATTCCTGGGCTTCGGGGTTTTTGTGTTCAGGGTTCGTTCCTGTTTGACGAAAGTCGCACACTAGCCGCTAGCGATGGCTTCCTGTGTCTGGTCAGCTGCTGGAAGCAGATAGAGTTCATATGAAGCTCACAACTCTCTCGCCACCAGAGGCATTGACAATAATCAGCCTGTACAGTTTTTGACGCAGGCCGTATAATGCAGTCACATCGGACGCACGGTCCAAAATACAATTACATCGGACGCACGTTCCACATTTTGCTGTAGTTCGTTTCTTTTGGCAAAGCCGTTCTTTGTCTTCCAAATCAAATGCGCAGGGGCTTTCCAGGCCTGATTGCGAAGTCGTGCAGCGCGACATCCTGCACAATACAGTCCATTGCAAGATTCAAAAGAAAAAAGACAAGCTTTAGCCGGGCGTTCGCCGGAACCAGTTGAATCTTGGCACCTAGCCTTTGCAGCGGTTCAAGCCTGAGACTCGGAAATCCAAGGATGCGGCGGGTCAGCCCTTGGCGAACACGGGCACCGAGGATCCACTGATCTGCGAAGACACCGAGGTGCCTCCAAGAGCTTTGCAGGGCTTCGTTGAGGACTTAGCAGATGTGGCATGGTTTGGGGTTTAGGGTTTGGGGTTTAGGGTTTTAGGGTCTTGGCAGATTTAGCATTTCCAGTTCGTAGGCCTTCGGGCTTTAGCGCCGTGGTTCCGGATCCTAAACTTAAGCTACCCCATTCGAACCAGCTCCCTAAGTCCTACGCTCTACGAAAACCATACACCCTCAGCCTAGAATAAAGCCAAACCTAGACCCTCGCCTAGACCCTACAAACCTCAGACGACTGCAAGCGGGTATAGTTCGAATCTTAGGCTTCTTGGGTATGATCTGCGCGTGGGCTTGTTGGGATTTGTTGGGTTATCTAAGTTGACAGAGGGTACAAGGGCCCACAACTGATAAATGAAACCCTTAAGTTCCTCATGTATGTCCTCTTACCTGCCCGATATGTGCAGATTTTCAGCACCCTTTCATCCCTAAACCCTGCCCTGGCTAAGCCTTGAAGTCCTTTCTGTGCCCGGAAAACATCATCTTTTACTATAATATACGCCTTCACGACCCTTTGGTCTAGAAAAGGTCTGTATGGCTTACGTTTTTGCTTCAGTGCGTTCAACCGCCCTGCACAGCAGATAACTCAGATGGAGTGTGTCTACCCCTAAACCCTAACCCTAAACCCTAAACCCTATTTTGGAGCTAGAGGAGCCCAGATACCTCGTCCCTGGCACAGAATCCTTCCGGAAGCCATCTTCAAAGGGGCTTTCAAAAGGGGCCGGGCAGAATCTACTTGAAACCACCTCTAAACCCTCAACCCTAAACCCTAAACTACTTGAAACCACCTCTAAACCCTCAACCCTAAACCCTAAACTCTGAATCCTAAACCCTACACTCTAAAACCTAAACCCTTCCCCAAAGGACGGGAATCGCCGAGTCGCTTGCTTCGATTTCTCCACGGCAGCTCGGCCCTAAAGTTAGGGTTCAGGGTTTAGGTTTCAGGGTTCGGGGTTTAGGGTCTAGGGTTCAGGGTTCAGGGTTTAGGGTTTAGGGTTTAGGGTTTAGGGTTTAGGGTTTAGGGTGCCCGCCCTGAGCCCGCAAGAAGGATCTACTGTATGGCTGTACTCTGAGGCCGTACATGACCTTTCGGAAAGTAGTCTTCCCGGAGGCTTCGGCCCAAGTTTTTTCTTGCTGGTTTCATCACGGGTGAATACCATAGCTGATCCCACCAGGCACCCTCAAGCGGTCACACGGTTGACTTTGCAGAGGGGGGGGGCCCCTAATCAACATTGATCCCGAAGCCCAAAGCCGAAAGGTTCCAACTTCCCCTTTGAGGTGAAGTGCAGAGCCTTCACGCCACAGCGGTGTAGCTGCGATGCGGTGCCTCTGTTCGATGGTGGGCAAAGGTTCCAGGCTTTGTTGATGAGGGTTTTGGCTGTTAGCGTCAGTCCTTGTACAGGCATCGTATTGACGTAGGTGAGCTAAGGTTTGCATATAGTGTTCAAGGCAAGGGCTTGGAGAGGAGGCAAAATGAGATTAGGCCAAAACAACGGGAGGTGGTTTGGGTGAATGGGCCTTTTTAGACGGCGCGGGATGAGACGAAGAAATGAATGAGCTGTGCCATCATCCACAGAAGGCTGAAGCTGCTTTTATTCAATCTGTCAAAGGCAGCCAACCATCCAATAATCCCTGCCATTGACACGCCCGTGAAATACATGATAAGCCTCATCACAGTTCGCTCGACAGCCATCCACATAGCGCAACACACTCGTTACTGACATGTTACTTCAAGTTCAGCCTTTTGTGCACTCGACGCCCAAACCCTGAAGCTGCCTGAAGCCTAAGTATTCTTTGCCTGCAAGTGACAGAGGCGCTTCCGATCTGCTTGGCATATTCTGGCAGATCTTCACTGGCATCCGCAGTGCGACACGTGATGCACCAGCCAAGGACTAGCCTTACTTGTTTTGCTGTGACGCGACACCGTCTAAGTGCCCTAAATCCTTTAAAATTCCGAGCGCAGGTATGCTGGGATAGGGATCAATAAACAAGCATAAAAGGATCAAAAACCCAAAAAAGATCAAAAACAAAATAAACCCTAAACCCTATAGGCCCTAAACCCTAGGCCCTATAAACCCTAAACCTTAAACCCCAAACCCTAGACCCCATAGACCCTAGACCCTACACCCTAAACCCTAAACCCTCGGCTGTTAGTTTTTTTGACCGTTTTTATTTATATTATTTTTTGATCCGGCAGCCAGGTATGCTTGCTGTGCCAGACCCGACTACACGCTGGATCTCAACATGAGCAAGTCCGACGCTTAGCCAGGGGGGCGTAGTTGATGCCGTGACCAGAAGATGTGGAATCAAAGCTGCAGGAGCTCCCAAAGACTCAACCGCTCAGCCTTCAGTTCCAAAGCTTTGCTTACTGGGGATGTGAGGAGTTTAGGAGAATACAGTAACAATAATAAGAAGAAGACTAGGAATAAGGACGATCATAATATATTCAAAATTAGTAATCATAAGCATAATGACAATACTAATACTCAGAATAATCTTCATAATCAGAATAGTACTCGTAATAATAATGCGAATAACAATGTTACTACGCGGTTTAGGGTTGAGAAGGGCTTTGTGTGCATTGCGCGTGCGCTGCCCTTCAAGGTCGCTCACGTCCACAACAACCACGCTTCCAGTCAAACGCTTCCTCTGGCAGGCAAACCCGACATCAGGCTGCAGGATAGCCATTCTTGCTATTATTATTCTTATTATCATTATTATTATTATTATTATCATTATTAGTATTCGTAGGATTATTATGATTCTGATTATTATGATGATAACTGGCTGTGCTGAACCCTAGGTTCGCCAGGGATTTTTAGCGTAGGAACCTCATGAGACCGCAAAGGCTTCCAGCAATCTCCCAGGGTCCAGCTCTCAAAAAGCCTCTCAGTTGGCCTCATGTTGTCAGGCGCCTCTCCGTAGGTTTCCGGGCAAAGGCCTGAGCCCCGAATGGCTAGACCTTTAGAGCGTTAAACCCCCAACCCCTCAGGCGCCTGCCTTAGACTCCCCGTATTTTTGACCAAAAATTGGAGACAGAAAAATATACAAAAACAAAAAGCAGCCGCGCTTGATCCAAGGAACAGCAAGTGCTTCGGAAAGGGCAAGTCCACAGTGGGCGACTTCACCCTCGAAGAGTGCAAGAGCAGGTGCGACTCTCAGGGGCTTTGGGGCTTTCGGGTTTTTGTCGGGTTCTTCAGGGATTAGGGGTCTAATGATTAAATTAGGGCCTTTAGAGCCGCACAAGGTGCTTCTTTTAAAGGTATTGAGTGGCCGTGCTGCTTTAGGGCTGTGCGACCTCGGGTTTGGGGTTCGGGGATCCGGAGTCCGGAGTTGAAGGTTTTGGGCTTCGAGTTCCTGAGTTTCGGATTTGGGCTTGAGAGGCCTCGGAACCCCAGAGAAAGCCTCTAAGCGCAAGACCCCTGGAGTTTACGAATAGCGCCGAGACCAAGCAGGAGGACAGCTCCGTCCCTTTGTCTGAGGTGCGAGGAGGACGTCCTGCGGCCCGAGGACCGTGCACGTGTCTACTATTTGCTTAAGAACCCCAAAAGAATAGAAAATTACCAATAATCCCCATATTGCCCTTAATAAGGAAGAATATTTTTTCGGGGTTCTTAAGCAATAGTAGTTGTAGAAGTACAGCGCAGGTACCGCGGGTGCCCCCGGAGATGGATTATACATTGGGGTGTTCCCCCTTATACTAACAGTCCTTAATAGAGATTATAGTAGGGTAATCCCTATTATAGGGACTGTTAGGAAAAGGGGGCATGTCCCGAGACATGCAGGGTTGTAAGGGGTTTAGGGTTTACCCTCAAGCCCTGAGACGTCTCGGGTTCTCAACTGAAAAGCGCCCTGCATCGCAGGACCCACGCACAACGAACGGAACTGCCTTGGGCGCTGCCGGTGCGCCGCCAAAGGCCTTCTCTGAAGACGAAAGCATGGCTATGGTGTATGTAAACCCTAAACCCCTAAACCCCTAAACCCCTAAACCCCTAAACCCCTAAACCCCTAAACCCCTAAACCCCTAAACCCCTAAACCCCTAAACCCCTAAACACCTAAACCCCTAAACCCCTAAACCCCTAAACCCCTAAACCCCTAAACCCCTAAACCCCTAAACCCCTAAACCCCTAAACCCCTAAACCCCTAAACCCCTAAACCCCTAAACCCCTAAACCCCTAAACCCCTAAACCCGAAACTCTAAACTATAGGGTTCATGTTTTGTTGGGCGGTCTGTCGGGCTCTTGAGTGTTAAAGGTGAGGCTGCGGTTTGGGGTCGGTTGCCATCTGTTTTTTTGTTTGGGGGGGGGGGCTAAGTTCGGGTTGTGGTTTTGCAGGAAGCATACAGGTCAGTGAACCCTGAAACGGGCGATCTCTGCAGCATCGACCCTCTGCTCCCGAAACGGTGCGCTGTGTCAACAAGTCAAAGGTCCAAAACCTTGAGCCCTGTCCCCTAATTCCTTGGACGCCACAGACAGAGTTGAGTTGAGAGCCCGGTAGAACCTGTAGTCAAGCGGGATGGAAGCATCGAGACGATGTTGAGGGCTCAGGATTTGGGTTTTGTGGGGTGATCTTGTGCGATGGAGGCCGCGGCGGCCCCTCCTTTCCCAAACAAGCTCTGTTTAGGCCATAAACCTTCAGTACCCTGCATCCAGTACGTCGAAAGCCCGAAAGGTTTGCGACTCCATTCGCTTCAAGCCGCACACCTTCAACGCCAGCGCCTTCGAACACACAGGAAGTTGCAGCGGCTCGGCGCTTTTTTTCTCAGAGGATGTCGGACTTCCAGGCTCAAGGTTCGTGTTGAGGTGCTCAAGGTTCATGGGTAATCTTGGGTATCTTGGGGGGAGTTTGGAAGAAGGAGGCAATGGCCTTGCTACCTTGTGTGGGGAGTTGGTAGGGAGTCTTGTTGGGAAAGCCCTTTTGCAGAAGGAATCCAAAAGTTGAAGGGGGGCCCTAATTCAGCAAGGGCCCTATATGTGTTCACGTTGAGCTTTGGCAGCTGGATGTCGCTGACATGCCTGTTGCAAGAGCATGGCTGTTGCAGGGTTTTGTTTCTGGGCCTTGCCGACTGCACTTCTTAGGCTTCATCTACGCGACCGATGTGGAGTCCTGTGAGCCTGCATCTGGAACGTTGACGTTCTTCCGCGTGAACGAAACTGGGATCGCGCTGCCCACCACGACAGAATCGCCTTCAACGACTCTGAATAGCTCCGAAGTGGAGAAGATCTTAAACCAGAGCGCAAACCAGAGCGCCAACAGCTCTTTGTGATGCAAGCGGCATCAAGCGGCAGAAAAGAAGTAGCGGAGCCTCCACAGCCGCGTATCATGTCCCGCTGGCACAAGGTATGCACTTTCAACTTGTTGTGTAGTTGTGCTTAGTCCTCCTTTTCGTTGCTGAGAGGATAAATCTGAAATAGCAACCAGCTCTCGATGAATGGATGGTGTGATCTATGCAGGTCAACTTTAATAGGACAAAGCAAGCTTTGGAGACTTGCGTAGGCTCACGGGTCTTTCCGGGTTTCTTAGAGGGCATGGTGCGCCAGTCTCAGCCATGCTGAAGCAAGTTGCGATGTACGTATGTATCAGCCCAAAAATGCCGACCTTTACAAAGGAATACGCGCAGCGGTTTTTGCATAGTATCCCTGCGATGTCCCAGACTATCCTCTTTCAAACTCCTTCATCTCTGAGGACAGCAGCAGTGGGCCTGACCTGTTTGCAGCAGAAACGCATGCCACACCCTCCACACCCCCCAGGCCTTACCTCAAACGCCCGGGCTCCTCTATTGAAGTGGCTAAACCAGGGTCAGAAAGAATCATAGGCCCTAGAGAGTACAGTGGAGTACATGTACGACGCGAAACAAACCTCCGGATCTTCAAGTCCAAACTGGCTGAACACACATTCGCGCAGAACCGTTGCTTGCGCCACTAAATCAGAGCTCCTTGGATTCACCCTACGTGCCTGAAAGCCATCGGCATATCGCTGTAAGGCAACCAAGAAAAGACGAAGAGAGAGGGTTTGGGAGGTGAGCGTGGAGCGCTAGAGTACTCGATAGTGTTGGAGTCAGCGCAAGAGTGAGAGGAAGACTCGGATGGGAAGAGATCATGTAAGGGTGGGACGTTTTGAAAGTGTGCAGTTCTTTTCCTAGGTCCTAGGCCCTTCATCCAGAAACTCTGAGCCTTTCTGTTGTGGCTCCGTGTTCAGGTATCCCAATTTTAAATTCAAAAATGAGGGTAGTTTCAAAAATGCGGGACCGTAATATGACAGCGACCACCAGAAAGGACACTAATTTAGCGGCCTTCTCCTAACACATGCTCCCTACCCGAGGAGGTTTCAACCCTAATTAATGCCCGGGTGACTAGCAAGCCCTATTGCTATAGTCCACGGTTTTTGAAGTTTAGGGTTTCAGTTCAATCAGTGGAATCTAGAACGGCGTATTCAATATGTATTCAATCAAAGACGCACGGGACCCTACAGCAGTTGCTTTGAAGTCCAGCGGGGGCAACTCGGCTTAGGTTAAGAAGTTCTAAACTTAAACCATAAATTTCGAACCCGAAGGCTCTCTACACTTTAAAGGGTGCAAGGTGCCTAAAGCCCGTGGTCGTAGGGGGGGTGTGAAGTGCGCCAGGCTCCCGGAGCCTGAGCTCTGAGAGGTCGCAGCATGAGGAGCGAAGCGCCGGCCTCAAGGGATGAAGGGACACAGGGGGTTTAGAGGGTTTAGGGTTTCGGGGCTTATAGGACCCAGCCACAGGAATACTCCGATACTCGCCACTGATGGGAACATCCTAAGCCCGACGCTTAAAGCTGCAACGTGTTGAGGTCTCAGGGTTCTTGAGATAGAACAACTCCCCCCCCACCCCACCCACCCGCTCCCCGGCGCATGCAAACAAAGAGAAGCTCTTAGCAGAACCCGTGTGCATCGTCTCAACTGGGTGCAGAGAAGTGCTGGTGGCCTTGCCGTCCCTCGTTGGAAAAATGTACCCGGCCCGTCCCAAAGCTGTGGGGAGCCCTTTGGGTGAAATCTTGCGGCCATGGGCACTGGTCGAGTAAAAGAACCGACTGGGAGATTTTGGAGATTTTGTGAGGGGGACGGTGCAGGGGATGTTCAGTCATGTAATTTTTTAAGGCAAAGGATGCGCCCGCCTTCTGAGTTACATCCCAAAAGTCCCGCCACCCAGACTAAGGCGATGGGGAGGGGACGTCCCAGGGCCGCCAAAGCAGCGAGCGTCAGGGGCCCAAATGAGCCTCGCGGCCAGGGATTGGGGGTCTAATTGGAGTTTCATGGGTAGTTTATAGTTAGGTTATTAGGGTTATAAGCACCCAAAGTAAGGTTGTATATATAGTTACCCTACGTATATCCCTACTTATATCTACCATTGACCCTCCAAGTAGGGTCTCCTCTTAGTGTGGGGGGGGGGGAGGGGGGCGTGGGCTGCGCCCACATTTTCCTGGAGTATCAACGTAGCCCCTTGTTGTTATCAGCGCCGTTGCTGTCAGTAGCATTCAACATTGGCTGTCACGATCCTCGCCTTGGTTGCCCCTGGGGGTTTAGGGTTCGACTCCTCAGGCCCGAGCCTCTTTGTATTATTTGTTCCCATGGCTTTGAGAACTTACTGATAACTTCCTGTGTGCCTGAGATGCGGATGATCCACGCCGTTTTTTTTTTTTTTTTCTGGGGCTCCTGGGCCGTTCTCACCGGCACAGAGTTTATGGTTTTGGTGTAGAGCCGAGGTTATACGGTTGTGCAGCAGAGAGGGTGGACAGGCAGGGCTGAGTCAACCCTCCACCTAGGAACCCCAAATCCTCATAAATCCTCAACCGCAAGCGGCCCCGGGTGCTCTAGGGGAATGGGTTGGGGAACTTAGACCAGCAGTCCTTAGTAGGGATTCTAGTACCCCCTATTATGATCCCCATCAAGGACAATTAGTATAACAGGGAGCATCCCAACAAGGAATGGGGCTGTAAGGTAATTTCTTAGGGGTGAGGGCCCAGGGTCGAACAGAAGGCGGGCTTGTCAACTTTGAAGGAAGCTCCAGCGGCACTCCATCAGTGAGTACACCAACTGTGTCCGGTGGGGGGGCTCGGCGTGCCATTTCTCTTGGGGGCTTTGGCTTCAAGCGTCCTAAGCAGCCCGAAAAAAGCGCTCAAGTTTGCAAACAAGATGCAGGTGTGATAAAATCGGCCTACAAGGGAGTGTGGGCAGCTCTGAAACTCAAACCCTCAGCCTGGTGAAGAGAGCGCTGAGCCCTCAATCTTCAAACCTCGCTAAAACCTGGATCTTGATAAGCCCGAAACCGCCTAAACCTTGCATAATTTTCCTAAGCCCCGAAGACTTGAAACCCCCCACCTGAAAAGACCGCCCCACCCGACCCACCCCCAATTTGTGCAACAACTTCCTTCAAAAAACATAGAGGAGTTGCTTGAAGAACCCTACAACCCTAAGCCCCTGAACCCTAATCCCCCAAGCTCGATCAGCCCAGGAGGCACATCCCTGACCCCTGGCCCGGGCCTCCGGGCGCGTCCCGGGGTGCCGGACTTCCACGCGGCGGCCGGGGCACTCGAGCTATGTCGATCCTGTGCGTGGAATACCCGGGAAATATGTCGGATACCCGGTAGCAAGGGCTTACAGGATGCATTTGGGCTTGTATCGGGTTTATGTAATTCGGTGTATGAGTATAACAAGGGCTTGTAGGGCGTGTTGATTTTTATATGGGGTTTACAGAGTGTATAGTTCGGTGTATTAGGGTTGAGTTGTGAAGCGGGCTCAGGGCTGCAGGGGCCTTGGAGGGAGTAGGGGGTGGGGATGAGGTCAAAAAAGGGTTGGGATTGAGGACTTTTCGGGTTTCGGGCCATCACCACCTCGGTTAGCCTTAGGTCCTCAATGTCGTGGATATGCTGCACACGACGCTGGCTTGCCAAGGACTCCCATTGCACCTTTCCGTGGGGCGAGGGGTCGGCCTACATGGCCTAAGGTGAAGGGTCCGTTCAGCATTTTTGAGTGTTAGGACTGCAGGTTTAGGGTTTCGGGTTTAGGGGGTTAGGGTACGTGTCTCTAGTAGCAGCTCCAAACTCCTCCAGCACGCCCTGAGCTTGCCAAGAATTGGCCAAGAACCTGCGCAAAGCTCTCATCTTCGAAACCTCAGTCCCGGAGAGGCACGGATCGAGACCTTAAAGCCCCCCAAAGCCCCAAACCATCCCAAACCCTAAACCCGACCCACGTTTGCGGAGAGCTTTTGTTTAGGTTTACGACTTTGGAAAGCATGGTTTTCAAGAGGTCTCTAGAACAGGGACCTACTTGACAGTCTTGTTTGTGGTTCTGTGCCCCAAACCCCAAACCCCAAACCCCAAAACCCCAAACCCAAAACCCAAAACCCCAAAACCCCAAACCCCCCAAAACCCCCCAAACCCCCCAAACCCCCCAAAGCCCCCAAACCCCCCAAACCCCCCAAACCCCCAAACCCCCCAAACCCCCCAAACCCCCCAAAACCCCCCAAACCCCCCAAACCCCCCAAACCCCCCAAACCCCCCAAACCCCCAAACCCCAAACCCCAAACCCACCAACACAGCTGCCAGTTGAGACGGAAGCGCAGTCGGCCGAGCGCCCAGCCTTACTGTGCTTTCTTTGCTTCGTTCCGTGAAGCCCTAAACCGCTTCACCAACGTAGGACCCTCCACCCCGTACCCTTGCCAGCCCTTCTTTAAGGGGCTAGAGCGGCTAAGTTCCCGTCTAAACCCGATGACTAGGTAACTAAGGGACGTCGCAGTATGTTCGGGACGCCTAAACCCTGAACCCCATGCCCGGTTAACACCCTATATAGCCCAAAGCGCAGAAGCCTAAACCCATATGATCCTAAACCTGAAAAGCTCCGTCTCAGCTTGTTGTGCAGCTTGCCGCGCAGATTGCGTGAGTGCCTAGTCTAGGGCTTTAGGGTTCATGGGGTTTGGGGGGCCGTTTAAGGGCTCGTGGATTTCAATCAGGTGACCAGCGCAGCCACCTAAAATGATGCGAAACATCTTCAGTTAGCAGCAATGCAATACACCCGACAAGTCCGGCTAACACCCTGAAACCTTCAGCCTTAAGCTTTCGAAGCCTCAAACCCGGAGCATTGGCAACTGAACTCCCAGGCGAAAAGCACAGAAGACTCTGCCACCCAGGCTTCGACCTTGACATTCGCACGGGCGTTTTCGGTGTTTATGTTTCGGTTGCTCGTGTTTCAGCTTGTCTTATGGTTGCAATGCTAAGGATTGCTAAGGCCCAAAGTCGGAGCCTGTTGTTCTCTATGCGCTTGATTGTGTAAATGTTTTTTGCCCTCGGGGGGGGGGGGGGGGTGGTGGGGCACCATACACACATATACATATATACATGTAGGTCTTTCGTACTATAGGGTCAGATGAAAAAGTATTGCGCACGCAAATGTCATTTATCCCCATTCTGCTCCCAAAAAGCCCTGCAACTACACAGAGTTGGGTCTTTGTTGGGGTTTGGCTTCCAAGGGCCAAAAGCGTGCGAAGCAGCGTGGGACCGGAGGTGCCCGCATATTGCTGCGGCTCTTTCTAAACAGCAGGCCTCCAGGGGAGGCCATCATGGAAGTGGAGCTGGCGGCACATCAAGCCACATGTTAGGGCTGATCAGGACGAGATGTTGTGAGGGTGCTGGCCACACGGCGACTTGTGTGCTCCGAGGCTCTGTGTGATATATATATATATGTATGTGTGTATATATATATATATATATATTCGTATTTATTCGTATGCGTGATCTCACGAAAGGAATGTAATGGGTTTTGACACACAGTCCAAACTTCCTACCGCACACGAGAAGTCCTAAACATTGAACCCTAACCCCCATGAGCCTCGAACACCTTTCGGCCGAGGAGCTGCAACGCATCCCATCGCTGCAGTCCTTGCTCAAGTGAGCGCCTCGGATTTTGGGGGTTCGGGAAGTTAGGGGTTTAGGGTCTAGGGTCGGGGTTTCCAACCCATTGAACTTTCTTCAAGCCCTCTTCTTCCTGGGCCTAAGCTGCGAATCTCGGAAGTGTTCGGGGCGAGATGCTGCCAGGAGGCTTGGCGGATCTTCGGGGCACTAAACCCCAAACCCCACACCCTGGGGCTTGGTCCTTTCAACTTCTGACGCGAGGGGGCGGTTCCTTCTCCCTTCTGGCAGCTGCAAGCCCAAAGTCCCAACATCCCCCTTGTGAACCCACAATCGCACCCCTAACCTTGTACTCAAAACGACACCGGCCCACACCCTAAGCAGGCTCAAGGATGGCGACGTGGATGAACTGATGGGCCGCCCCAGGCGGCCTTCGCAAGGCGCCTGAGGGGGCCGTGGGGTTGTGAGGTTCTCAGGGCTTCGGGGTGTCAGGGTTTACTCCAGTTCCCCCGAAGCTCTGAACCCCAGCGTGTGTTAGGTGAGGGCGCACCCGCGGAAGCTAAGCGGCCGGGGCCCGAGCCGGCTTCCAACATGGGCGCCTAAACCCAGAGAACCCCAAACCCAGAGAACCCTAAACCCTAAACCCTGGCTTAGCCGGGCTTAGCCGGGCTTCGGGCTTAGGTTCAAAGATCAGGGTTCCGAGCGTCACCATGTCCCTAACACCCACACAGCACATGCTCCCCATAGGATGGCAAGTTCCTTGAATGATTGCTCCCTTGGGCACCCTGAAGGGGGCCCTTTCTCTAGGTGCGGCTTGGCTCGGCTCTGAATTAACCCTCCACGTCAACCCAAGCCAAGAGCGAGGATCTAGAGATGTGCCTTCGAACTCTGAGAGGCCGTCCCACTTCCGCGACCGTCATGGCAGGCCTTCGCCAGAGTTGCAGTGTTCAGACAGCGCGACAAGCACTTTTGGGTCTCAGGGTGTAGCATCACCCTGCCAGCCACAAGGGGCGGCTGTTCAAGATTGGGATCCCTTTGGAGGGCGCCCTTTTCCCTCAAGGCGGCGATTTCTGTGCCATCTTCGCATATCTGTGCTGCCAGCATACACGCACCAATCTTCAATCCTGAACCCCATAAGGCCAGAACCAACTAGTCAGCCTGCATCAAAAGAGCTGGGTTGGCATAATCCCGCTTCCCAGTGAGACAAGCTCAGCCCAGGGAAGGTGAGGGTTTGCCTTGGCCACCTGCCCTGTATACGTCTAGAGCTCTACAAATGTTTTTTGAGAAGAGAAGTTGTTGCAGCGAAACAAAGTCTCGAGCTGCGGACAGGAGAGGGGTGCTACCCGTTCCTGTTTCAGTTGCAAACTGCACTTGAACTCCGGGTTGGGCATTGGCATTAGAGCTTGCTTACGATCTCCCCTAGCAAGAGACTCCAACTCCGTGAGCCCTCCCCACCAAAAGTCCTACACCCTACGCACTACCATACATCCCGAAACCATCAAGCCCCAACCCGAGCTGCCCCTGTCTTTCAACCTTCGGATGTACAGGATGCGGCACAATTGGAATTCAGCCCGGGCCCGAGGCAGTCTCTGCCGGACGCGTGCAAGCGGAAAATCTTAGAAACCGGGGATCTGTCGAGGGTTCAGGGTTTGACGTACAGCGGGGAGGAGGGGGGGGTGTCATTAGAGTTCAGGGACTTGGGGGGCTGGTAGGTTTGGTTTTTAGGAGCTTTGAGCCCTCACATATTGGCGGAGGCACCCCCCACACACGTCTTGAGTGGTATGTGGTGGTAAGTTATTATATAGCTCTTCACCTTGTCGTCCCCTCAAAGCAAAATTAACTAATCTCGGAATGGCTGGAACGTTTCTGCAATCTGCTAGTAGGACACCAACCTCAGCCACAAGCCTTGGAACTAAGCCCTGCCCCTAGAAATCCTGAACCCTCCCGCCTGGGGAGGAAGCTGAATCCCTGGCCCGTGCCCAAAAACCCGACTAGGTGTTGGTGCAGGGTTACGGTTTGGCCACTGGTTGATCCTACAAAGGACTTGCTCTTATCCTGGAAGTGGCCCAGGTGAACTTTGAAACGCTCGCACTGGGCATGAGGCAGCAGTGACTTGACGTCCCTTTCACTGGGTTTGTTGAAATCATGGGGTGCCGATGCCAAAACACGACCTGCACACATCGTAGGGAATTTCCAACACTGGACGCCCGAGCTGCAGCCTGCTTGAGAAGCTCAATCCGGGGCCCGGGGGCTGTTGTGGTTTACCAAATTTGTTCATGTTCGCAAGGATGCATCGCATGCTCTTGCTGGCCGCGGCGCCGTGGACAGGTCCCGCGAGTCTCGCCGGGGCAGCGCGGGGCGAGAGCACCATCGACCGAGCTGCCATGGAGTATGACAACACCGTGAACGAGGATGGAACCACGACTACGTCGGAAATCTGCTGCGTCTGTCAAACTGGCGAAATCACGTACCCTGGAGGCAGCGTATGCCCTTCAACATGTGTCCAAAGGCCCGAACCGGGCGGGTGCACGCTTGAAGAGAGCCGGGAGTATATCTCACCTCCGAGGCAACCGGGGATCCAGACAGTCATTGCCAAACTCATGTGCTGCATCTGTGCGAGAAAAGAAGGGGGCACCGACGAAATAAGTTTGCCACGGGCCGCGTTCTGTCCGCAAGGATGTATCAAGAAAGGCGAAGGCACGCGACCTGGACAGAAGTACCACGGCCAAGGCGACAGGGCGTGCCAAATCTAAATAAATCTGTATATATATATAATCTACTCTAATATACTGTATTATACTATAATATACTACCTTAATATACTATAATATACTCTATAGGTCTCCCTTTCGAGACAGATGTTTCCGTGCTGGCATCGGCTTCAAAAAAGAGCTTTGCTAACCTGAGCTGATGTTCCCGCTTGATGCACCAAGAGAATCCGCTAGCATATTTCACTTGTTGATGAAGGTCCTTAAAGCAGCAGAGGGCGAAGTTCGGGCAGAGCAGCACGGCAACGACAATGCTTTTGCGCGTCTGTTTTCAGGCACTGTAAACTGCAAGCCCCCTGCACCTATAAGACTTCGGACCAGGGGCCACGACGAAACTGGTGATGAGGCTTCTGAACGTAATCGTCATCAAAGTCATAACCCTCATTGTAATCACGTCGTGCTTTGACGGTTGAGGGGCATTCTCGTGAACGCTGTCTCTGAAGGGCGAGCCTCACCGGCCCTTCAAGATGCAAACACATGCCTGGATTCGCTGTAGGTTTCGACATTATGGGCCCAACGATTACACTGTAGGCCTCATCACCCCCCAACCTAACCTGAGATCACAGCTTGAGTAGCCAGGAACGACAAGAAAGCGGAGACTGAGCTGGAGGCCATCATGGGCCCTTCTTCCTCTCTTTTGTTACACTGTTCAAAAGAGAGTCCCCACACCATCAACCCTTGGGGGCTCCCGATCTTGAGGGGTCAGGATTACGTGGGGCTCCTTTTAAGAAGGCCTTTAAAAAAGCCCTGAGCAGAACAAGGAGAACCCCCAAAGCCCCGAAACCCAAACTGCAAGCCGGTCTCTGCGTTACACCGAACACACACCCCACGCCGTAGATTCCAAGCCTCCCGGCCCCATCATGTGCCACCGACCAAGGCACACAACAGGGTTTAAGGGTGTAGGGTTTTCCCCTAAACCCTAAACCCCAAACCCCAAACCCCAAACCCTAAACCCTAAACCCTAAACCCAGAAACATTGGGGCGACATCGCTGGCAAGCTGGCCTTCGTCCTGACACGGCTGGAGCAGGCGGGCAGCTCGTGTACATGTACCAAAGAAGAGCCTCCTGATCCCGACCCTAGATCCACAAGCCTCCCCAGATCCTTACTCTTCAGGCTGTCAGGGTCTGATATACTTCATCTTCACTGACCCGCAGACCTAAGGCTTTGAACCCAAACCCCCCAACCTCCCAAACCCCCAAGCTTGGAAGCTGTGAGGCCCTCGCCAAAAACCGCAAAAGCATGGAGTTTCAGGAACGGGGTAGATTTGGGTTCGCCACTCTTCAAAGGATTTTGTTTGTGGGTGTGCAAGTGCACATGACGCGTGAAGAGACAGAGCACTGTGAGGGTGGCAGCGGTTTCCGAGAAAAGCAGGTAAAAAGGCCTCGGCAAAATCTCCTGATCTTCAGGTCGTGCCAATGTCGAAGTCAAGGCTGCTCAATGAGGCTGCGGGCAGCGTGGATGAGAGTCAACGCGAAATCCTAAATCCTGCATTTTTGAACAGCGCTTAAACCCTGCGAAGCATTGTCCCCCCCACCAAGCCCTCAAGTCCTACTGTATTCCTCCGACCACCCTGGTAGCATTAGCCCCGCCACCTGAAGCGTCCAGGCCCACCGGACACGTTTGGGTGCAGGTTTTTTCAAGAGTTTATGCGTAGCCAAAAAAGGTGAAGCCCAAGCTCCTAAAGTCTCAACCTCAAACTTTAAACTCCTAAACCCAAGCCCTATGGTTCTGATCGACGACCCTATTGCTTTTGCTTCGCGAGTACGCCAGGGATCCTACAGGTGTGGCCAAGGTTGGAGTCAAGCTTGACCATGGAAAGCTCATCAAGGCAACTGTGCCAGCCCACGATAACGAACGCAGAGACGGACCCCAACCTTGCGACGACCACCCGGGCACATTAGGTTACTCCACATCGCGCACATTCTCGTGCAGCAAGCAATTGCGCATGGACCTGTGAAATCAGAGTGACAAGAGGAAAGCACAGGCAGCGTACCCGAAAAGTCTGGGACCCCCTCACCTTTGCTGTGAAAGCTTCTAGCGCAAATGGCGCTGCTCGTCACACTTGTGACAGGAGGGCCCAAAAGTGATGCAGTGGCCCACTTTTCGCAGCGAAGTTTGACTGGGGCAACACTCAGGAGATCGCCAAGTACATCTCTGAAGTTTCTTCCAAAAATCTCAAGGGTGCGACAGCCACCTTCGACGCCGTCCTGAAGTCTGACCTTCCCATGAACCCAAACAAATACTCAAGTAAAAAATTGGCCATGCTAAATTCCTTGGAAATCGAAAATAGATTTATCGATATTCGACACATTCGCATGGTTCCTCGTAACGCTTGTCAGATGATGTCAAAGAAAGACTATAAGACGCGCAACAGTATAGAGCTTAAATGGCACTTGGCTCTTTCAGACGAATTGTGCTGAAATGAACTGACGCCTCACTTGTGTAGCTCGTTTGGCTGGACTTGCATTCGTCCAGATTGCACTCCATCGTTGGGCCGGAAACCGCTGGAGGGAAGGGGGTTGGGAATCATGGTTTTGGCTCGCTGGGGTGCCTCGCTGGGGTGAACACTGTCCGACCCTTCCTCGGTTCGAGACGAGAAGGGGCGATTGGGAATCAGGGCTTTGGCACATTCTGGGCTGACTGGAGAACCAAGAGAATTGCGAGTGGGTTTGTTAGCCCGAGCGAAAGGCCCCAGCGCGCGCAGGGCTGAGGCGGTCTTGGTCGCTCTGGATTAGGCTCAAAAGCGGACCCACCATTTCGATCAAATGTCGCCTGTAGGCTCTCGGAACTGGCACTCGCCGGATGAGCGAAGCCACCATGCCGAGCGACTCAGGGGGACCCGGGGCGCGGTGCAAGGATTGAGGTCTTCAGGCTTTCGGTTGAAGTGTTTGCGGCCCAAACCTAGCTTCTGTGCCGGAACTCCTAAGGGAAAGGGCTTCGACGTTCTGGTTCCCAGACTTCGTTTGTCCGTAGCTTCTGCCGAGTTCTTTGGCCCGAGAACCCCTGAAGTTTAATCCCTCAACCTGCTAACAAGGAGGCTCTGAGCCTAGGGACCGTGTCGCGCAGATCCTATCCTCCAAGACCACACACGCCTCAACCCCGAAAAATGTCAAAGGTCAAAAGCCCGAAAGCCTGAAATCTCAGGGTGAGACCTCAAGCCCCAAACCCGAAATCTCTGAAAGAAACCCCCCCCCCCCCCCACAAAAAAAAAAAGCCCAAACATCCCCCCCCCCCCCCCCCCCCCCCCCACCCCCCCCCCCGCCCCCCCCCCCCCCCCCCCACCCCCCGCCCCCCCCCCCCCACCCCACCCCCCCCCCCCCCCCACCCCCCCCCCCCCCCCCCCCCCACCCCCACCCCCCCCCCCCCCCCAAAGAAAAACAAAAATGAAACAGCAACATCCTGCCCTGTCCCCGCACGGTTTGAGGCAGGTCATGGAAGGGGTGCTGCAGTCCCGGGTCGATCTCGGAGGCCTCTGCTCTCTTTGGGGGGGGGGCAGCGTCGAGGGCCTCCTTGTTTTTGATTTGTGGTGGTCTTTCTTGTTTATCTGCCTGCTGCCCAAGTTGCATCATTGAGGTCGTTTGGTTCCGAGACTCGCGAGTCCGTTTCTAGAGGCTCAGGTTCTTTGGTTCTTTGAGGGGTAGGGTCTAGAGGGTTGAGGCATTCTTCCCTGGGGCTTGATGTGGACCGAGACACGAATACCTGCAGCATTATGGTGTTGGATTGCCTTTGCTGCTAAAACGTGCGGAGGTGCTCAAAAGCTTCGTTGACCCCGCAGTGTCGCTCGTGAGGGGTCTCCAATGACTATAGCCAAAACGCACCCCGACAAGCTCCCAGAAACAAATCCATTTTCGCAAATCTTGAGGCCTCTGAATACGTGATCTCGGAAGGTTTACAAGGGTTCAGGACCTAAGAAGCCTTGGTTCGAGGTTAAAAGTCCGCAAGAAGTCCTTCAAAGAAAAGGATGTTTTTCGGAATCCCTCAGATCGATACCCCAAATCCCAAACCCGCAGTCCGAAAATCTAAGCCCCAAACCCCAGACCCGAATCCCCAACCCGAACCCAATTTCAGACCAATCCTCAATCCTCCTGGAAGATGCGATGACTTCAGGTTTGCTGCAGGCGTTGTCCCGGAGCGACCCCATGCGGTTGCTAAAGGACAGTTCGTCATGTGGGCACAAGGGGACTCTGGATGTTCTGAGATACCCCAAAGGGGACCGCACCTTAGAGCATCACAGCATGTCAGCGTGCAAGGTTTAGGGTGTACTTTGAACCCTGGGTTTGGGGTCAGGGTCTGGAGTTTGGAGGTTAGGAAACCAAGGGCGTTTACGGTTGCTGGGACGTAAGACTCTCTCTATCTCTCTCTTTTTCAAGATAGATGGATATTGCTAATTATGTACACCAGTATAAAGCAAATGGAATTCAGAATCCATGAAGAAAGTTGATCGAGCTTAGAGCTTCCATCATCAGGCATATGAGACGTGCTTGGTTCTTCCCAGCTCTCAGCTCTGAATCGAGAGGGGATGGAACGTGGACAACTTCATATTGACCAAATCATATCCTAGAATACTGGGTTGCTGTAGTCATGTGTATCTACTTAATCAGTGACAAACACATTGAACAAAACACGCCCGCGACCCGCGACTTCTCAATTTTGAAGCCTGAAACATACATTGAGTCTCAAAGCTATGCGAAGCTGCGGGATGTGGTCTTGTTGGGAACCCGAAACCCTTGAGGTTTAATAAGGGTTTCTTGGACCCACGCCCAAAGCTTCCACAAGCAAAAGCTCGCACAGGACTCCGCGAACGCCTGGCCCTTGTGTTTGGGGAGGAGGGCGGGGGGAGGCTTGCGGATGGGTGTTCTTCAGGTTCAGGGTTTAAGGGGTCCCCTGGAGGCTTTTGAGGGTCAAGTGTTCACCTCCTAATATCTCTCTGGAGCCCCCCTGGGCCAAGGGCTTCATGTCGAAGCCCGCTTAGTCCAAGAACAGAACACAGATAGAAACAAAAAGCAACACCGAGCCTCACCGAAAGCGACCCTTCGAGGTCAGCATCTTTGCTCGGCTGGAGGAGTTCGCTGCGTACGAGAAGGACATCAGTGCCTGCTGCCGAGGAGGTTTAAATGGCGATGTCATGTTTTTCTTCAAGGCTCCGCGCCTACTTCTGAGGGCCGCCTAACCGTAGAACCTCCCATGACACACTCTTTGTGCTAAAGCCTAGGCATTCGGTAATGGGCTTTGGGGGCACTCTAAAACCCCACAGCCGAAGTACGAAGCCTACATAGCGCCAAGCCACTCTCCTTGAGTATAGCCCTGCGGATCTTCGGTATGGGGTTGTGGGTCTTCGGTCTAGGGGAGCCAAGGGACGATTTTCGAAGGCTCCTTGCGATTTGAGGTGAAGCTAGGGGTGGCCTGAGGCTGTTGAAAGAGCCCGCAAGAAGTCAAGGCGGTTCAATCCTGTGCCCGAGGCGCGCGACCCTCACCCCCCACCCCCCCCACCCCTCCCCGCGCAGCCAGAGCAACAGAGGTCCGGGAGCACCAGATCGACTCCCCGGAGACTTGGATTCGATTCAGAAAGCGGCTTCTCCAAGCTTCTGACTTTGAAGGGTAAGAGTAGTAGTGCTTATAGTACTTAGTAGTACCCTTGTTGCCTTAAAGAGGGTTTCCCTTGGGGGAAGCTTGGGAATGAGTGCCGTGTAATTGCGTTCCTTGATTAAGGGCCATGGGCTCGTTCGACGAGCATGTTCTTCTCGGGCTTGTCATTTGGGGCTTGGGCAAGCATTGAAGTGACAGGTCAGGATGTTTCGGATGTCTACTGGATGTGTGAGCATGAGCTGTTCCGACGGTTCTTGCCAGTTTCTGAGGGTCAATAGATATTCAGTGAAGCTTCCTTGGAATTCCTGGGGACACTTCGGAGACGGCAGCAGGCCCGGAAGTTCCCTGAGGTATGTTTGCTTTTCAGCTGCCAAGGTGCTGATCCTAGTTTAGCCCTACTTGAACCGCAACCTTCAATGCAACTCCTCAACACTATAAGCCCTCCCAAGCCTGAGGAGATGGTGCACCTCGTGCTCCAGCGCTGGAGCGTCCAGCAAGGCGGAGAGATGGAGAGGGGATGAGAGGGGGGGGGGGGGAATGGGGCGGGGACTATGTGGAGCGGGTGGAGGTGGCCGGAGATGAGCTTTGGGTTTTTCATGCATTGGGTCTCTAGGCTTTCTGGGTGGAGCGGCTCAGGTTTCTGTGCCGGGGGAGTGGAAGGAGTGGAAAGATATTGCAAGCTGACCTGCAGAAGTTGCGGAGGGGGGGACTATTGAGGACTTAGGCCATCGGATTGCCCATACTTGCGAGCCTTTCTTTCTGTAGAAGCTCGCTTTTCGAGGTTAGGCATGCTAAGCTTTAGAAGTCCTAAACAAAAACAACTTCGGCTTTTGCGCTCTCCTTATTTTTGGCTTTTTGCGGACTGTGCGGCTGACGTGCTACCATGGAATTCCGGAAAGGTCAAGTGTGTGGTCCTAGGGCCCTGGGAGAATCCTCATCCTGTGGCGGTTGAGTTTGTTTAGGGCAGGAGGTTTGAGGGCTTTGGCTGAGGGGCTTCCGGATCAGTTTAGAGTTGCCTCAGCATCCAGATCACAACACATGGTGGCCCCCTGATGTGAATCACTATCTCTTTTGACGTTAAGAGAATGACAATATATACAGGGTGTGGCAGACGTCTAAGGCTTTTGGGAAGGGTTAGCCACATGCCTCGTTCAGATCCCCTGCCGGAAGCTGCCGGTAGAAACCCCACGCAGGCTTCTGCTTGTCCAACATCGTGGAGCGGCGCGAGCTGGCGCGCGCGCTTTGCACGGCTCGGCGCTGGATCCCTGGAGCTGTCGTGACGGAAGGATGGAGGGCTTAGCGCAGAGTTCAGGGTGTAGGAGACCGTTTAGGGGTGCTTCTAAGTTAAGTTATACATGAAGTTAGGTCTGAGTGTTTCAGTTCTGGAGTTACAATCCACCGATCCTCTCGACCGCACTATGATAATTGTGGTGACAGTGTAGAGCACAGTATACCTACAGACTTGTGCGGTTGGGTGTCATGCGCCGCTCAGCAAGTAGGGTTGCGTGTTGGATTATGATCCCCCCCTGGGCCCTGGGAGTTGAAACCCCTTGCAATCTCGATTCAATGAATTAGACAGTTTATAAGGGTACATGGTTGTTCAGTCTCTCTTCTTCGCAGGCCAACACAATATGTTCGTGCTTGCTTCGTTTATGCGCTTGGTAAGGCCAACAGACCCTTCTAAACAGAGGTAAGTTACAGGGTGTTTCGGATGCACAATCTGAAGAGAATGAAATGAAAACTCACCCACACAGACACCCACATGCACACACCCACGCACACGCACACCTCGGGTACCTCCTGAAGGTCCCAAGCCTGCAGCCCCCAACCGAGGAAGCACCACGCGGAGGCGGAACAGGCGCCGGAGCCCTTGGCATCCCCAGACTATTCAGTTCTATCATTCTGCAGGTGAAGTGGTATCTGCTTATACTGTGTTATCTTACAGTATATTTACCTTAAACTAAGTTGCATTACCTTATTATACTAAGTTGGTTCTCCATGCACCATGCACCTTTGATGTTGAAGGTTTCTCTGTTTGGATCAGAGTTTCACGTATATGACAGCATTCATGTTCGGCCGAGCGCCTTGGGAAAGCCTAAGCCGCCGCCTTAAACCTCTGTGTTGTGTTCAACGGGCTCGACAGACACTTCCTCACACCCGACCCCCACACCCCAAAGTCCCCCGAAACGGCTTGCGTCCCGAGATCTTTTGCTTGAAGCATCTTTGAGGGTGCTGGGATCTGGCCGAAGGGCTCAAGGGGGCGCCTTCAGGGTTTAGGCATCTTGGGTTCAAGGCTTCACCAGTCAGAGCTGAGCTAGAAGCATCTGCAGAGCCACCGCAAAGCCTCGACCTTTGACAATGATCCGTTTTGTGAGTAGGTGAGGGCGCATTTGCAAGAGGGTATCAGAAAATACGGAACGCAAGGCGTATACCAAGTACTGCACCATACTGCACCTTGCACGTGCGTTTTTTTCAGAGTCGGCTCTCAGGCCTCAACATGACCGGCACGACGGCTCGAAAGAAGCTGGTGGCTCCGGGAGTTGTGGGTCGGAAACAGCTCAGTTAAGCCTCAGTCAAGCCTCAGCAAGCCTCAGTTAAGCCTCAGTTGCCGCAAGATGAGACGACCTGTCCGCTACAGACGCATTTGCGCTCCACTGATGTCGGAATTTTGTGGAATCTCCGGAGGCGGTGGAAGAGCTGGTGACGCCGGCGGTGACGCAGACACCCTCGATGGTCTCGACGAGCCAATCGATGGCCCAGGCGTTCCCGTTTTTTGCTTAGAGGCTTAGAGTGCCAGAGAGGCTGGTTCAAGGCTTTGTAAAGTTTCTTCACATGACCCTGAAGCATGGTTACATATGGTTATGTCCATGTTATCAGTGCATCCGTTGAAGAGCACCCGTGCTCGCACCTTGATGCTTCCTGCGTTCAGCCAAGAAAGCTGCTCTTGCAGACGGACTTCTTGCTGCCGGGGTGAAGATGAATGACAAAGACATATCGGGTTTTTGTTTTCGAGTCTTGCGCCAGATTCGAACCTCCACTTCCTGGGACCACTTTGTGATCCATAAAAGTTGCAAAGTCCAACATGCCGATTCCTGCAGCGCAGAAACATCGTTTCGTTTCGCAAAACAAAACGCATACCTGTCAGGGCGAACTGCCCATGCTACCCACCAGCCCTCTAAATCACTATATGCAATCTCTTTGAAGCTGTATAAACCCTAAACAAAAACAGTCCCTACCGCAGGAGGAGGAGACAGGTGTGCGGAATAAAGAGGCCCTCCGAGGCCTGCAGAGTGTGGGTTTTGGGGTAACTTGAAGGCACAAAAACCCTAAGCCCTAGCCCTAAACCCTTAAGCCCTTGAACGTTCAACCCCAAACCCCTCAACCTCAGAACCCTTGAAACCCTGAACGCCGAAAGCCCTCAACCCTAAACCCCCCCCCCATTTCCGGTGGTTTTTGGGGTGATGAAGGCTTGCGGGTTTCGGGTTGGCATGTTGAACCATGGACATCTGAGATCAGCCTAATCCGAGCATCTGTTTAATTGGGGGGTCCCCCCCCCCCACCGCAATAAGGAAGGCAGGGTTCCGCAATAATTGGACCATGGCCCTGCATTGATTCTCTATTAAAAACAATAGGCTGCAGATCCCTGAGGTGCTGTAGCTTCGCATCTCCGCAGCAAGCAAAACAAGAAGCCTGCCGACAGATTTTTTGAACCCCCCCACAATATTCTCTTTAAATGTGGTGGGTTTGCCCCATACGAAATCCACCCTAGTGGAAAGTAGTCTTCCGGCGGGCTTCCGGCCGAAAAAAATCTCTTTAAATGTGGGGGTATTAATTAAACAGATGCTCGGATTAGTTTAGATAGCTCTCTGACATTGCCGCTGCCTTGCTGAGTGTCAAGCATCCAGGGGATCCAAGCGGCGCTTGATGGCACTTGCCTGCTTTGCAGGCCTATACGTTGGTGAACCTTAGGCGGCCAAGGCCCTCTCGCCCGAAACGCCTTGTTATCAAAACTCAACTGGAAAGTCGTCCCTACAACCCTAAAAAGCCCTAAAACCCTACAACCCCCAACTCCCTGAAAACCCCTAAAACCACCCTAAAAAACCCTATAGAACCCGAGAACCAAAAAAGCTGAGCCTTGCAAGCCCAGACCTGACGACGGAGCGGGGCGTCCTCCTCGAGATCAAGCGCGAGATGACGAAGCTCAAGCGCAAGTGCAGGGTCGGCCTTCCGAGATGCGGGGATTCTGCCGGGGGGGGGGAGGGTTTAGGGTTTGGGGTTTAGGGTTTAGGGTTTAGGGTTTGGGGTTAGGGGGTTAGGTGGTTAGGGGGCTTACTATAGGGGTAGGAAAAAGTTTCTACATAGACGTACTATAAGAACCTCCAACACCCCATTCTATCTATTAAGGCGTTTCAAGAGGGTGCCTTTGGGTTGAAGGGATGGGCCGACACTCTGAAGACTCAAGCTCCCGGAAAGGAGGGGGGGTGTGCCGTTTAGGGTTGAGGGTTTATAGGGTTTATAGGGTTTATTATAGGGTTTAGGGATCTAGAATGGGGCCTGGTCTTCGTGCGCCTTTCAGGAGTGTGTAAGAAATGGGTGTCATCTGGAACCCCTAAATTGCCGGGGGTCGCGGCGAAGCTTTTGGACCCAAAACCCTCCAACTTGGTCCCTCAACGTGCTAGGGCCCCCCCCCCCCGGCCCTGAATCGAAGGTCGTTGCTTCTTGATTTGGGGGAAAACCCTGAACCCGGATTATGGCTCGGCTCCCAAGCGCAGGTTTTGGAGGGCCAGTGGGTGGAGCAGCCACGAGTGCTGCTCACGCGGCTCGAGAACCAGTGCTTGAAGCCCAATGGTGGCTGTTCAGGAGCTTTTGGGTTCAGGGGGCTTCAGGGTTTCGGGTTCAGGTGCTTTAGGGTTTAGGGGTAGGGTTGAGGAGTCTTTGGGATCTTGGTGCGTTCGGATTCGGTACGGAGGTCTTAGCATGAGGGGTTCTCTCGGAAGCTTGCAGATCTCGGGCTGTATTTAGAAGAGTCTTGGAGTCCGCTTTCCAGCTGTGAGAGTCCTGCTAGGTAGGACCCCTAAACACCTAAGAACCGTCCCTTTACTCGCCAAGGCCGCAGCCTTCGGCTGAGCGTGGAGGCAGGGAGCCTTGGGCGGTCGGGGGAAAATTGGCAGCTTTGGTGAGGGGAGGCGGTGCTTATACCAAACCTCCGCCCACGGCCGGGGCAGACGCGAACATGAGTCTACGTTGCCTTCGTTTGGCTCCTTTTTTGTGGGTTGCAGTTATTGGCCGTTCCTATGTGTGCTTTTGTGGCCTAAGTGTGTGCAAGGTCAGCATGAGATGTCTCCATTGGCAAACAGGTAAAGATGAGCGAGATAGAAGTGGCGCGACGGAGACTGTGCGATGCTGAGACTGCCTTCACAAATCCGACTCCAAAAGAAAGACCTCAATCCCAAAGGGTAGCCCGCAAACCCTAAGCCTAAATCTAGCACCAAACCAAAAGCCGCCCCAAATCCGATTTGCAAGCAAGCCCTGTAGTTGGCTGCTGCTTTAAACCCTTAGCCCTACACGCTAAGTCCTAGGTGCGGCGCACGCTAAGTCCTAGGTGCGTGGCTCAGGGTTTCACCCTGGGCCGCGCAGAACCCTAAAACCTTGGAGCTCAACTTTCAAGTCTGCCTTTTATGAGCAGGGTATGCCGATGCTGAACTTGAATTCGTTGCGTTTCAGGGTGACGGCTGCTTTTAGATTTTGTAACAGGGTTGTTGGATGGCTTGTATGGCTGTTTCAAGGTTATCTGCTTTGTTACCCTTGCCGTCATATCCTCACCCCCGTGACTTTCCGACCGTTCATGCCGCACATGCCGCATGATTGACAAGCTAGTGAATCAAACGCCTCACTAATAACTCAGCGTCACCAGACCTCCAAATCCTAAGCCCGCAACCCTAAACTCCTTAAACCCCTTTGTCCAAAGCCCCCAAAACCACCCAAAAACCTCCAAAACAAGCCAAAACAAGGGCCGATGCCAACCGGCGCTGGCGCGCCAATCGGACCCAAAAGGAGCCGACCCTGGTCGACCTGGAGATTCAGGCGCCGAGCTTTTCTCTTCGCCTCTTGGGGATTAAGGTGCCTTACAAGGCTTTTGGGGATCTCCAGGTTTCGCAGCGTCATAGGAGTCATAGCTGATGATTCTACGAGGCCTTGCCCGGTGGCCCAAGTGGTTTGCAGTTCAGGGTTTCTCGCCTCAGCCCAGATTTTTTTGAATCTTTTGCGTACTGAACTGTCCAAACTCTCCTCGCAGGCTTATGACATAAGGCGCGAGCTGGCCATGAGCGTGCTGCGCTACGTGCGCAAGGATCGTCAAGAAGCCCTGGTCAGCGGCTCACTGCGCTTGCTCCTGCGGTGCCCTTCGGGGCGTAAGAAGTGGAGGGGGACTTTTATGTCATTTTTCCAGGCTCCGCGGATGAAATTCGGAGAATTCGGAGTTTGGGCTGCAGAATGGAGTGTGCAGCTGGCGTTGCGGTCCTAGGGGGTCATGGGCTTTCGTGGCTGTCGTGGCTCAACGCCCAAGCCGCCTCCGTGCGTGTGGACGTGCGACCCGTTTGATGCTTCCCGATGTAGGGGCTGTTGGGGGTTCATGGGATGAGAAGGCTTGTACTAAGAGCTTGGGGTTCAGGAATTTAATTGGTCCAAAGAAACTACACGCACACACGGTGTGTGTGTGTGTGTGTGTTCGTACTATATAGATAAATATGTACATATACACCTGTTGTCATGATTCCCTGACATGGGCTAGGCAGGAGCCGGAGGCAGCACAAGCCGGAATCTAAGATCAGCTTCGGCTGAAAAACTTCACATTCGTCCCCTCCCCGTGATATATGTTGACCACAACCATAGCTACCTCTTCCTTTCGTGCACAGACGCCCTCATCTTCGCCATCTGCTCAGGGTGAGTGGCGTGCACAGATGGCCAAGTACCACAAAGACAAGGCAGGTTTTCCCCGGAACCTTGACGAGAATGTTGTCTAGTAGGATTGCGTATATTTATAGAAGGTTTGTGCCAGATCGAGAGATGGCAGATGACAAGTGTATATCTATATATATATACATATGCATACACGTGTACATGGTTGTGCATATATATATATACACACATGCATACACATGTACATGGCTATGCATATGTATATCTATATCGCTTTCGCTTTCGAGGCACAGAACCCCGTGAGGATGCAGCCTTAGCATGCACCTAATTAGTGCTAGTGAACAGGCTGGAGCAGAAATCTGGGTTCCCTGGAATAGTACAAAAGCACGGCGAAGCCCAGTTTGCACTCAGCCGGTGAGCATGGCGGAGGGGACTGAACCGGCACAACAAAGAAAAACCGTCCCCGGGACAGCCCTAAACCCACCAAACAAATGTGTGCGCAGTATGTGCTCAGGCACGGATGGCTCAGCATCCCTGGCACAGTAATCTGCTATAAGCAGGAGGGGAAGGGTGTAACCAGCGCACATCGCATTGCAAGTGCTAAAAGCTGTCCCTCACCCTCAGAAAGGACTGCCTGCTCCATGAACTACCACGAAAGCAGTGGAAAAGCAAGTGCCGCCAAGATTACACTCAAAAGAGGTCATCCTGCCCAAGCCCCATGAACTACCACGAAGACTGAGGCTAACGATGCACTCACAATGGCCGATGCAGATCTCGTCATTCTGACACTTGCCCGAGCAGAGCCAGGACGTCTTCAGGACCTTGTCCGAGCCGGGAGATGCTGCACTTGCCGCGGTCAATCAGCACACGCGGATCCTTTGCAGTGAACTTTGCCGAGAATAGCTTTCCAATGCCTTTTTTGTTGGCGCAGGCCCTCATGGACGTCCCAGGGATGCAGACTTTCGTCTGACAGTGGGACTTCTTAGTCATGACGACATCGCTTCCCTGCCTACTGGATTCGGCGAAGGACTTGGGAAAGATGGTGACATCCACTTGGCCTCCGTTGCTTGGGCCCTGCCCTGGACACACCACATGTCCTCCACTTCCACCGTTGCCGTCATGTCAGTCACGGTCTTCACAAAATTCTGCATACCATCATGCAAGCGTGCCTGAACACCGTCAGCAAACCCATGGCTACCCTGAAGGCCATCAAGCGCGTTTCCACTGGTCCTTACCAAGTCATGCACTTCTGTGAAGAGAAATTGCCCACGTGAGTTGCAAGGAAACTTGCTCGTACCGACGCCGGAAACATCAGAGAAGCATTGCCACACCCCAACAAAGGGATCACGAATAGCTGCCAACCTATCCGCAGGCAGCTGCTCCAATTTCACTCCCTCCAGAAAAGCAGTCGCAACCAGAAGTGCAAGTGCCTTCAAGTGGGATCTCCAGGAGAGCAAACTGGCCCCTATACGACCTTCAAGCTCCCCTCGGAGAGCTCGTAGAGAGATTTGACCATGTTCCATGAGAATGGGAATTGCATGGCAGATGTGCTCTCTGAGGGCCGCGTCCTCAATGATGACAGCTTGGTCTTGGTGGCTCATGACGTTCCGCTTCCCCGCAGGGCCATTCAATGCAGAACTGGGGCTCTAGCAATACACCTGCGCCGCTAACTACAGGCGCTCGATCCAGAGCCCTTGTATGTCTATATATACATCTATATATATATGTATATGTATGGAAAGTATGTGTGTGTATATATATATATAGAGAGAGAGAGAGAGAGAGGGAGAGAGATGGATAGATCGATCGATCGGGCGTATGACCTTGGATCTGTTTTAGCGCGAGGCCTAATCTCGACGAATGTCGGAAGCCTCACAACGTCTGCTTCCGCAACCCTAAACCCCCGCAGCCTGAGCACCTAAAGCCCGAAACCAGAGAGAGAGTGAGAGAGTGAGAGTCGGAGAGGAAGCTCAAGCAGTTTCACGACAGACTGTGCAGGGGAAGAGTGCGGGGCCCAACCCCTAAGCCCGGTAGAAGATGATGAAGCAGAGGGAGCGAGGGACACCCAAGCACTTCCGAAGTCCCGGCATCTCATGGTGGCAAGACCACTCGACCCCGCCGCCGAAAGGACCTGAGGCCCTTTAAGCCCTAAGTCGAAGAAGCGCATCCCGTGCCCTGAACTGAAAAGCTCCCCGGTCCCATCATCTATACAGCCGGGCTCTCTAAATGCCAAAGCCCTCTGCCCTGAAAGGTGCGCATGCGCGGCAACTTTGCCCTTGCAGTGAAGCGCTGGCGCGACGACGCGAATTTCGCAGCGCCACTCGGAGCAGCATGTGGGGACCTTTCCTAGGTGTTTTTGTTTGCAGGTGGTACTTGTGATGATGGCAATTTTTTTGGTTCCCGCTTTTTTTTTGGGGGGGGGGAGGGTGAACGAACCGAGCTACAAAGCTTAGAGCTTGGGGGCTTTATGGGTTGCGAGTGGTTGGGATGGCTTCGCCTCTGGCGGTTCCGGCTTGCGGAGGACTCTTACAGCGTCAGGGCAATTTGTGCAGGGGTTTATCAGGCTTTGGGAGGGGTTTTGAAGGGAGTCTACCCCAACCCTGAACCCTGAACCCTAACCCCTAACCCCTAACCCCTAAACCCTAAACCCTAAACCCTAAAGAACCCCAGCCTAGTGAGAAGTACAGTCCTGATCCCCGGTCAATTTCGCAGGGCTCGCGAGTTTCTCCGGGTTGCCCTGGCCTCCTTGTCTACGAATTTAAGGTTTAGGGTTTAGGTTTTAGGGTTTAGGGTGGTTAGGTGTTTAAGGGTTTGGGGATTTAGGGTGTCTAGGGCCTACAGTTGTTGCCATACTGCGGCCGATGCATCGGGAGTCCTACAACTCACCCATTCCAAATCCTCTAGATCATCCCCCCCAGAGTTGCGATGAGAGTTCCACTCCCAACCCTCAACTTCCCCCCGCCCCCAACCAACAAAAAACAAACAAACCAGAAACCCTGACGACCAAACACCGTCACCAAGCCACATAGTTCATGGTTGGGATAGCATTCGAAATTGTTGTTTCTATTCCTTATTGGGTTTAAGTGCCCTTAGAAAAATGCAGAACGTAAGTTTCTATTCCTTATTGGGTTTAAGTACCCTTGGAAACACGCAAAATCCAAGTTTCGGTTCCTTATTGGGTTTAGGGTTTAGGGTTTAGGGTTTAGGGTTTAGGGTTTGGGGTTTGGGGTTTGGGGTTTGGGGTTTAGGGTAAGCACCCTTAGAAAAACGCATGTTCCTGGCATCAGCCCAGGCCCGGTCCATCAGGCCGGCCCGCGCAGCGTTTTGGAGGGGACTGCCTGGGCTCAGGTTTAAGAGTTTATATATCTATATATCTATATATACAAATGAATGTAGGATACATATATATATATATATTCTCTCTGTCTCGCTTGTTCGAAGTCCGTGCCTTCCCTGCTGGAGTGCTCGACTGCCGCCTCCGATTGATAAGTCTGACCGTTTTCTTGATTGCTGCTCCTCACCAGCTCCTGATCCTCGCTTGAAGGTTCGTGGCTTCTTCTAGGTAGGGTTATAAGTACGTAGGATACACCCTATCCAAGACTCTTATGATAATGTAGTTATAGCTACCATCGAACCTTCAAGTAGGCAAGTAGTTCTAAGGCGCCCGTGAAGCCTCCGCCCCGTTCTCCCCAACACGCACAGCACGAACCCCACACCGCGGCACTCGTCATCCTCGAGCTCGCTAATGAGCTGAGCAAGCTTTCGAAGGCCCCCCGAGTGGTGCCTTTAGGGTTTAGGGTTTAGGATTTAGGGTTTAGGGTTTAGGGTTTAGGGTTTTTGGTTTAGGTTTAGGGTTTAGGGTCCCCATAAACCCTCAACCCCAAATCCACCAAGACACCAAAGCAAGACAGTCAAGCCTCACCAACTTGCTTAAGAACCGCCAACAAGAAAGGTTAATGCTATTACCCTTGTAAGGAAGAATTGTTTCTACCTTTTTGGGGGTTCTTACGCCAAAACCCTAAGCCCTAAGCCCTATACCCTAAACCCTTTAAACCCTAAACCCCAAACCCTGTAGAAAACTGGTGATGCGCGGAAAGCTGCCCCAGGCGTGAACCCGTGGAAGGCGAGCCTGGCTTTCACCCCCGAGGCGGTCCGCGAGGCTCCGGTTTCTTTCAGGTCTAGGGGTTGGCGAAAGTTTAGGGTTTAGGATTTAGGGTTTGCGGTTTAGGGGAAGTTTAGGGTTTAGGATTTAGGGTTTAGGGTTTAGGGAAAGTTTAGGGTTTAGGATTGAGGGTTTGGGGTTTTAGGGATTAGGGAAAGTTTAGGGTTGAGGATTTAGGGTTTAGGGTTTAGGGAAAGTTTAGGGTTTAGGATTTAGGGTTTAGGATTTAGGATTTAGGGTTTAGGGTTTAGGGAAAGTTTAGTGTGTAGGATTTAGGGTTTAGGGGCAGTCAAGGATTTAGGGTTTAGGGTTTAGGGTTCCAGTAGTCATGAGTAGGGTTATGAGTTGGGCAACTCGAACTCCAACTCATAACCTTACTTGTAGCTACCCATGGACCTTCAAGTAGTTGACCTCGATTGTGTTTTTGTGTTTCGTACTTGTCTGTTCTCTCAATCGTATGAGATTTCTTCTCTGGGCAGCCGGTCTGGGCTTGCAAACGAATCATGAAGATATTAGGATCAGATGTGTTCCCAAAGTCCTGATGTAATATGTATATATACATATATATATCATAGACGTTCACTCGGAACAAACCAACAGGCCAAAAAAGCCCGTGAAACCGTGATTGGCCGATGCCACCTTTGAAACCCGAATGCCTTAACTTCATGCAAGCAACTGGTGCCATGCTTGATTTTCCAAAAGGACGCCAACATGTTCTCCAAAATCAAGCTCATGCGTGTTCCAATATGATATTTTGTCCCACAAAAGCATCCAGGCTCATCAGCAGTTATCCTGATGTCAGCCGGAAGCCGTGAATCCAATTGTAGCCTAGAAGCCTAAGCCTTAAGAACAGAAAAACTTCGAGCTGCTCGCCAGGGCGACCCGAACGAGGATGACAAGCTGGCGAACAGGTCCCAGCCAATTGAAAGAAATCCGTTTGTTGAGGGTTTGACTTCTCAGGCCGACAAAGTCAAATAGTCTTGCATCCATGTGAACAGCCACTATTCCTGGCAACTTCAAGAGGGCCCTCAAGGAGTTGCGGGTTACACACGGCTTGAAAAGCTGACAGCTTCCCGCCTCGGCAGCAGATTGGCCCGATCGAGTGGGCAGCCCACCAAGAAAACAGCGCATTCTCCAGGGTCTGGGTTTGAGGGTTTGGGGGTTGGGGTTCCGAGGGTCTTCTTAAACCCCAAATCCCTTGAGACGCTACGCCCTAATTACGAACTAAGACCACAATAAAGCTAGAGCCCTACGAAATAAAGACGGTAATTCACACTCGATCCAAAGGGCTGAATGCGCAGGTGCGTGCAGGTCGACCAGGGGCTCACGTTGGCAGGTGTCTCCGCTGTTGCGAGGGCTTGCAAGGCTTATAGTGTTGATTTCCTGGGGATTTGGGGCTTTGGGTGTCGAGGCTTTGGGTTTATTATGCTTAGGGTGCAACTCGGACTCTTGGGTCCCAGAAACTTTTCCTTGCAGGGGTCCTTGTCGTTATCAGGGATCTACTTTGGCCCCAAGCCCTTAGGAGCCCCTGGCAGCTGTCTTTGGCCCTGGCAAGCATTCAGGGTTCAGCAAATTTAGGGTTCAGGTAAAGCCCTCACCCCCCCCCCCCCCCCCCCACGGCAGGGTTCGGGGCCAGTGAACCCTAGACGACCACCGTGAAACCCCAAACCACGACAGGCCCAGGACCCTGAACCTCCCGACTGGCAGCAGCTTGAAATCGGACAGGAATCACGCGAAACCAGCTCATCAATCAGGCCTCTTGCCCCATTGTCCGTGAGAGGGTTGAAGGTGTCCGGAGACATCTCTGATGGGGTGCAGGGCATGTTACTGTAAGGGGTTAGGAGTGTGGCTCGGGTTTCAGGGCTTTGGGTTCAGAGTTTATTCTAGTTGAACCCTACGTCTTCGATGCCTGGAAATACTCTAAATACTTTGAGGACTGCGCCTCCTCTGCCCCCCAGTCGTCATTGTACCTTATTCACAAACCCGTCCCAGTACGTTTGTTTTGCGGGTAAGGCCAGACGTGAGTTTCCTGAACATGAGAACATGTAGGCTGCATCGCGTCGATGCCGCTCCACTCTAGCCTTGTCTTCTGTCAAGTTCAACCATGTAAGAAGCCATGTTTTGCTTCTTCCGTCTTCTCCATGCCCTCGCCCTCACGCTGATTCTTCCGGCGCACGGCATCCGTGTGGAGCAGGAGGCAAGGCCGAGCACGCCGAGTTGGAGCAACACTTCATCCGAGGAGCTCCAGTTGATGCTGCTGGAGCAGTTGGGGGCCTTGAAGGGCTCCGAGACACAGGGCCCAAGAGATGCCGAGTCTTTAAAGGCGCTGATCACAAGAGCCCGGGTGGCCTGGGCGGAGGGAGATGCTTCAGGCTGCTTTCAGCAGCTTGGGAGCATGATGGCCAACCTGACAGCTGCCTGCCAAGAACGGAACCCCACAGAGCATTTCGTCTTCCAGTTTTATAGGCCGTCGCTCCCAAACAAGACGTGTGAGGAGAGTGTGGACGACATTTTTGTCCACGGTCGTGCTTTAGTTGAGGCCATGCACACCTCCAAGGAGGATCTGGCTTCCCTGACGCTGGATGCGAGTCAGGCTTCCACGGTCCACGCGCTGTACTTCCTGCGGGCTTGGCTGACTCCGCTCGCCTGAACCCAGAGCTCCGCCCTGCTTTGGGCAGGGTTTTGGGACGCAGACCCCAGGAATCGTACGACCATCGAGAAGTTACATGAATTTGCCACTGCCACAGACCACGCGACCGTCCATCCGGACAGCTGGCTGGGGCAGGTGGGCGTCGATTTTTTTCAACTTGACCTCGTGCATGCATGCATACACGCTGAAACAGATGTTTGTCTGTCTGTATGCATCTGCTCATTTCGACCTTGTGCTTGAGTAGTTCGATTCCCAGCAATTTTCGTACAGAATCATCCATAAAAGTATCGTGGGCAAGCTGTATCTGATGCATGCACTAGACTGAGTATTTGGCTACAGAACCGCGTTTCATGAAGCAAAAAATAGATGGGACAGTCAACAAAAATGCACGTGAAATGCATGCATACATATCTCGTATATAGATATATACACATATATGTATGTGTATATATATATATATATATATCTATACACATATATTTGTGTGTGTATATATATAGGTACGCATGGGTCGGCTTTGCAATGCCGAGAGTTGGCAGGGAAGTGGACGTGTTTGCGGGAGGTAGACCGGTTTTGTATGGCGGTTTCGAACACCCATTCTTTGCTTTCAACCTTGAAGAAGATTGGCGTGGGATCAGCAAATCTCAGGTCATCGACAGCAACAATGAGCTGAAGGATTGTTACAAAGAGGAGACGCGCCCGCTGCTGGCGAACATGTGGGCGATGGCCAGCATGAGCTTTGTGCTCAGCATGATGGAGAATGGACAAGGCACCGTCGTCGCGCTAGTGAACAAGGGCATGGAGGGCGAGCGGGCGCTTCACAAGGCCGTGCTTTATGAACACGAGATTCCGACACTGGGAGTGGCTGCATATGGACTCGGGTACTGGTCGCCCCAAGTCCTGGTTATCGACCTGCAGGGCACATGCTCGAAGACCAGCCCTGCTCTCCAGCTGCAGCTCGCCTCGCGCTTGGGTGCGTGGGCGACTTCCAAGCAGAAGAAGCATTGGCGTTTGCAGGACTTCGTGCGGCGATCGCACTTACACTGGCGATGCCTCGACTGCTCAGAAACCTGCAGTTTGGACGCTGCCTTGGCCAAGCAAGTGAAGCAGCTGGTGGAGGCCTTGGGGGCTTTCCTTGTATTCATTGTTGTTTGAGCATGTTGCGTGTAGTTTCCAACTTTTTTGTCGTGGCACTGGTTCAGGAGAAGCAGCTGAAGGACCGGAAGGGCCGAGAGCTCTTGCGGGCGGTGATGAACACAAGCCTGAACGAGGTGCCGTCGTTGAGGGCCAGCTGCGCCTACAAGCAGTGCCGCGAAGTAGTCCTTGTGCAACTTGCAGCCGGTCTTTAGGATCCAAAGAAAGCTCGTGATGATTGTTGAATGAGGAAACCTCAGTTGCCGAGGGCCAAGCCAGGATTCAAGTCTTCTAATGTTCGTCTGAATGTTAGCTTCTCGGTTTCTTCGGGCCGAGCTATCGTGTATTGGATGCCCGGAGGTGGAGTTGGAGAGGGAGGAGGAGCTCAAGCTTGAAGCGAAGGTGGTGTTCATGTTGCATACAAGCCTAGAAAAGCACAGGCGGTATCATGATCAGCAGAAGGCAGAGGACTACTACCGCAGCCTCATTACCGAAGCAGCACTTCACCATCCTTTCCCATGGAGCCCTCACAGCCGGCATGTGGTGAAGCCGCAGGATCTGCTCGAGGAGAACGCAGATGCCAATACAGCAGACCGCGCTGGTTGGACGGTTCTTCGCGTAGCGGCCGAGGCGGGTCATGCGGAGGTGGCGGCGCTCCTCCTGCAGCACCACGCAGACCCCAACCTCCCCGATGAGTTCGGCAACTTGCCCCTTCACAGGGCTGCGAATGATGGTGCTTCTTCGGCTGTGGTAGCATTGCTCCTTGAGCACAGGGCGGAGGTGAATCCTTGCAATGAGGATGGCGAAACGCCCCTCCACGACGCTGCCGCTTCCACTTCTGGTCACGTGGAGGCGGCAGCACTGCTCCTCGAATACAAAGCTGTGGTCGATTGTCCTGGTCGGGGCGGCGCATCGCCCCTCCACAGGGCTGCCGAAACAGGTCATGTGCAAGTGGCGGCGCTGCTCATCGATCACAAGGCTGGGGTAAATATTCGTGACCAGCCAGTGACAGGCGACATGCCTCTTAATGGTCCAATTCGGGCCGGCGCATCGCCCCTCCACCTGGCTGCCGACGAAGGTCATGTGCAAGTGGCGGCGCTGCTCATCGATCACAAGGCTGGGGTAAATGTTCGTGACCAGTCAGGCGACATGCCTCTTCATAAGGCTTCCTTTTGGGGTCATGCGGAGGTGGTTGCGCTGCTCCTTGAGGAGAGGGCTGAGGTAAGTCCCAGGGACAATCTCGGCGGAACGCCCCTCTGCTGTGCTACCGAAAGGGGTCACACGGAGGTGGTCACGCTGCTTAAGCAGCACGGTGCGACACTGCCCCCCGGGTTCAGACGTTCCGATGAGCTGGACTGGATGATTTTTAAAGAAAGCTGAAATCCACTTCGGAAACCCAGTTCCTTGCAGGTTCATAGGGAGCTCGACACGGAGTCAGAGGCATTCGAGTGGCGGTTCTATCTTGCATCCTATCTTGCACACGCCTTACTCGGAAGCCTGCAGCTAACAAGCACCTTCATCCACAACTCGCCGAAGCCCCCCTATTGAAGTACGCATACAGGAAACGCAAGGATGTCACTCCCAGATACGGTGGGGTTCGGATTTGGGGTTCAGGGCTTAGGTGGGATTTGGGGGCCAGTTGGGGTTCAGGGCCTGGAACCCAAGATCCTTCGAGAACTCCAAAATCCCTGAGCCCAAATGGCCATTAATCTTAGTAGCCCAGCGGTACCCTTTACCCTTTTTTTGCTTATGGGTTCCCTCATAAAATAACCAACCCAAAAAAGGGTGCCCTTATTATAACATGGTTACTGGGCCAGCAAGTAATCTGCAGGAGAGGTTGCTGGACAACACCAAGCGGCCTCTCGGAAACAGCTGGGAGCTGCTGAGGCCCCCGGACTCTGCGTTTCGGCAGCGGGGCTCCTGACAGCAGCTGTTGGTATGCTGTCGGTAAAGGTTGGTTTGTTTTTTGGGGGGTTGCTCTGAATGAGTCTTTACGGTTGTTAAAACTCAATTGATCCATACATTGTACAAAATGGGGGACGCTGTATGATTTATAACAACCTCCTACGGGGTTTGGGGCTTAGAGGCCAGGGGGGGGTCAAGGACCTGAGGCTTGAGGACTCACTCCTGCTTATCGCACTTTGTGCCATTTCAGAGAGTCATGCCCTAAAGCCTAAGCCCTAAAACCCGAATCGTGGTGGTACAGGGGCTGGCTTACAAGAAGGGGAAAAAAGCCAGAAAACCCTGAAGCCCCACCAGAGGAGCTCAGCGAGCCGACTTGATCAGTCTCGAGGCCCTAAGCGCCTCCAAGGGGCTCTTTAGCCGTCCACCCCCGCAACCTATAGATAGGCAAGGAGCCTCTTAGGGTTTAGGGTTTGGGGTTTAGGGGTTTAGGGGTTAGGGCTTGGGGTTTAGGGTTTAGGGTTTAGGGTCTAGGGTCTAGGGTTTAGGGTTTAGGGATCCCCCAACTCGCCGGCCTCTGCCCAGGAGGCAATACGTGTCAGCCCCAGAGCAGAGCTCACAAGTGGGGTTTAGGCACCGAACCCAGAACCCTTAGCCCTGCAGAGCTCTAACGCCGCTGAATGCCCCTTAAACCTCCTAATTTGTTGGCTTTTTCCTGCAATGGCTCTGAGCCCCAGTTTTCAAAGTTCCGGTATTCATATTCTCTCAAAAACAATAAAATTATTATTCGCACTGGGCGCGAAGCAATAAAACACATGACTGAAACAAGAGCCTGGAGGGCGATAACATGAGGCTTAAATCTATCCTGGAAAGCTGTATCGGCTGAATCGGCAGCCCATCTTCCATGAACAGTTAGTTCTTTGAAGTAGAGGTTCACTCCAAACCATGATGTGCTTTACCTCCCTCCCATCAGCTGCTTAGCGCTTCACATGGTTTCTAGGCCCCCTGAAGGGTCCATGCACCAAGTTGCCTCCAATCCCATGCGCGGGGTCTGCAATCTGGGGGATGCTGAACTAACAAATCCCCGTCTGAGAACATAGCATCCCGGGTTTATGTGACACCTCCGCATCTAACAGGCTCAAAGACCAGAACTCGATGCCTTACAAGCCCTAAGCCCCAAAGCCTCAACCATGAAACCCCCCCAAGAGGCCCTGAAACTTTGATGCCCAGACCCTAAACACCCCAAAGCCCTAACCACCTGACGACTGACGACCTGGACTTAACCTTGGTATTTAGAAGGGTATTTATTCGGGACTTGCCGACAAGTAGGGCCTCCACTGTTGCCCTGTTTCGGGAGTTAGAGCGAGCCCTTTTCATTCCGAGGCTGCCCAGCCCCAATGCCAAATTTACCCCCAAGCAAGCCTGAAAACCCCCCACATTAAACCCCAAGTCTCAAACCCCAAACCCCAAACCCTAAACCCCATGCAAACCCTAAGCCCTAAACCCCTGAACCCTGAGCCGAGTCACACCGTCCAAAAGCCCTGCCGAGATGACCTACGCGAGCATCCTCCAGGGGCAGCTGCAGCACTGGCCGCGATCCTCAGGGGAGGAAGGTTTAGGGTTTAGGGTTTAGGGTTTAGGGTTTAGGGTTTAGGGTTTAGGGTTTAGGGTTTAGGGTTTAGGGTTTAGGGTTTAGGGTTTAGGGTTTAGGGTTTAGGGTTTAGGGGCTATCTTGTGGGTTTGGGGGAAACAGGGTTTTTGTTGTGCTTTCGGGTCGGGGGTTTTTGGGGGTTTTGTTTTGTTTTGGGCTTCTTGGGCTCTTCGGGTTGGGTTTTGGGGACGCCTGGCCCCAACTCACGGTGATACCTGCATTTCTTTCCCTTCAAGTTCTTACAAAATCTCAAGACATGGGGGTTTCCAAAATCAGGGGTAACCCATAAAGTACCCCAAAACTGCATAATCCTCAGTCTAGGAACCCCTAGAAGGGTACCCCTATTTTGGGAAACCCCCATACCTTGATTGCAAGATACCATGAAGTTTCAATCTGCTCAGCAGCGCAGCTCTCTGATATCCGAAAGCCTCCAAAGCCCCCAAAGCCTCCAAAGCCCCAGTTCTCCAACAAAAAGGCCAACGAGGCATCTGTCCCCCTAAACGCCAAACTTGGGGGACTCCGGGTTTAGACTTGCAGGCTATATTGGTTAAGTCCGGTGTGCGTGATTTTGGGCTCAGTGTGACTCAGGGCTAGGAAGGCCCTTCCGAAGCTTAAGTTTCTGCCTGAGGCTTCGCGGAGACTTTCTGGGCCCGCTGATGCGGAAGATACGCGATCTCACAGGCCGAGAAGCTCGTTTTGTGTGTGTGTGTGTGTTGTGGGTGTGTGCGCGCGTCCATGTGGGCCACGGCCCCTTCCCCCGTCTCCCTCCGCCCTCCCCATTCTGTCGCCCCCGAACACTGCGCATATCACAACAAACGAAAGCATGGACCTAGAAAGCCATCTACAACCTCAGCCCCATCCCAGAATCCTGGTTGGGGTCCTTGCAGGTGTTTTTTCTTTTGTTTTCTTTTCTTTTTTTTGTGGGGGAGCACAGCATAAGAGAGGGTGCAACATCCAGCAAGCATGCCCCGCGACGCCCCAAGACGCCGATATGGACCAGACATGCTTGCGCCCTGCGTGCAGCGTCGCTGCGGACTGGACATGCATGAGGCCAAAACAAGAAAATACTCGGACCGTCAGAGGACGAGCTTCTTCGTTTCGTAGTCGTTCGGACATCTGCAGTTCGTGGATGCACTGGAGATCGTTGATACATGGGCAGGGGTCTGATGTCGGGGTTTAGGGTTTCATCACGGCTTGTGATCGGGTGTGTGTGTGTGTGTGTGTGATGGTTATCCTAAGACCCGGCAGGGCACCAAGATCAAGCCACGCACACTGACACTGCACTGTGTCGATGTGTTTAGGATTGGCAGACATTGGTGCACTCGTATTCACATGTATTCACCAAATCATGCTCCCTCGCTTTGTCCATCACGTCTGCAGTGTCGGCTTCAGCCTCCTGCTCGTTCTGCTATCCACGCCTGTGCACTTGCTGATGCGATCACTTCGTGTGTTGTTTTGCTCCAACGATGGAACACTTCTTGATGTTTGGAAGCATGTTCAAAAAGATGTGCGAGTGCATTGCAAATCCTTATGGTCATGCACTGAACCTAATCAACATGCGTTGGTCCCTCCTCCCCCCCCCCCCCTCCTTTCTGAATAAAGAAAACAGAATTCAGGTGCTGCAGCATCTGTTCCGCTGCACATCACCATGGGGGCTCATAGGGTTTTGTCCAAGGTAGGTCCCACGAAGCCAGGTCAGGTGCATTCATCCCTGGTGGAGGCCCGTCTGTAGAGAAGCCCCAGCAGCCACGGTTCCCAACCCCAATCCCCAAACCCCTATAAAACCTAAACCCTAAACCCCGCGTCCTTAACAAAAACCCTAGCATCCCTGGCACCCTGATGCACTCAACACCCCCTAAACCCCTCGATACCCTAAACAACCATGCCAGTTCAGCCCTTTGCATGGTGATACAGCCTACAACCCTATACGCCCCAAACCCCAAACCCTACAAACCCCGAACCCAAAACCCTACAAAACCGCTAGCCCCAAAACCCTATAAACCCCAAGCTGCAAAACCCTATAAAATACCCCCAAAACCCCTAAAACCATCCAAGCCCCGAAGCCCTCATCCCTCTATGCCCCCCCCTTCACCCATCCAAATCCTCAGCAGGTCGTCGGAGAGCTCGAAGCCGTGCGCGCCGGTGCCAAGGAGGACCTCAAGGTCCCTGAGTTGGAGGTCCCCGTGGCTGCAGCGTTTGTGTGTGTGTGTGTATATCTATATATGTATTAAATATGTCTATATAATATATATATATGTATATGTTTATATTTATATTTATATTTGTTTATGTTGTGTTTAGTTTATTTATTTTTTTTTTTGGGGGGGGGGGGGGGTTTTAGGGTTAAGGGTTTACGGTTTAGTTGTGGGGAGGGGGGGGGGGGCTTAGGGTTTGGGGGGCTTAGGGTTTGAAGGCCCCTTAAAGGGCACCCTAAGCCAAGAACGATGGTGTTACTGGAGAACCCCCAAAGAAGGCCTTGGACCTGGTGTTTCATACTACTTGTCGGGCATTGAATGATTTGTAGTTCCCTTGGCGCTAAGCCTCAGCGCTGCCTGTTTGGGCCGGGGGCACCGTTTTAGAGTGTGGCGTTTAGGGTTTCGGGTTGATTGACGGAGAACGTTGCTCTTGCATTGTTTTTGATCGTGCTGTTTATTGCGGCACCTCCTTTCCTCGACCCTAAACCTCTTAACCCAAAGCTTATAAATCTCGGTAAGAATATAAGTCTAAACCCGAACAAACCTCTGAGCACTTTTTCTAGAAGCTACACAGAAAGTTACTGTAATTAGTTTGCTCCGAGTGGTACACGAAGGGCAGATGTAGGTCTTGTGAGTTTTGACGAGCGGGTAGACGAACAAAACAGTAGGCCTGAAGCTCAAAAAACGCCACTTGAAATAGTTAAAGCCCTGAGACTCTGAGAGATCCAGCAGACCTAGGCCCGACGCCGGGAAGGACGGAGCCTCCCGTTCTGCGGGCTTTCTCTGGGGGTCGGAAGTGGTGCAGTGATTTGGGTGGTTTGGGGTTGGGGGTGTTTGGGGCTTTCAGGCTTTAGCACGATTTGAAGGGCTTGGGGGGACTCTGAGTTGGGGTGTCAGGGTTTGGGGTTACTGCGGGTTTAGCGCGGCTGGCTTACTGAGGTTTTGGGCGACTAGAAATGCTAGGTTATGGGACCCCAATTCAGAAACTTAAGAAAGCCCAAATCCTAAAGGGCTTCCCTCCCCGCGCCTCTCAACCGTCGGGCTTTAATCCCTAAAGACCCAGGAAGTTCAAGTTTCGTCGTAAAGCCCGAGAATTGCTGAAAGAACCGAAGCCCTTCCATGCAGCACGGCGTGGCAGGAGACCGGAGGCAGAGAACGGGCAAAGGCATTGGGCTATCCCGGGCTCAGGGTTCGGTGATCTTCGGTGGCGGTTCACTGTTTCGAGCCAGAGTGTGGAGCTTGAACTTATGGCGCCTTGTTTCTCCCTTAATCGAGGAAAAGAGGCTCGTAGGTTGTCCTTGAGAGGTGATTTTTGAGCTCGTCGGCTGTCATTGTGGACTTGTGGATTCGGGGGTTTAGGGCCGGCTCGCGTGCTGCGCAACGGCTTTCGCCTTGGGTGTAGACATCGGAGCACTTCGAGTCCCCGAATATAAGCCCGCTGAACCATCCTTGGCCGTCCCGAAAAAGTGTTCATTCTATACCTGTAGAAGTCTACAAGCGCCATGCGAAGCCCCCAAAGGCCCCAAAGCCTTGAGGGCCTGCACAGGGTTTGGGGTCCAGAGGCTTGGCGCTTCAGGGATCATTGCAGGGGGGCCAGTTTCCAGCAGAAGACTCTTCTGCGCCCCAGATCGCTCGGAGCTGAAGATGGAGGAGTCCATCCAGGCTATCTTGCTCCATTTGGAGCCGGGAACCCCAGAGTTTTTTTTTTTAATTGGGGGGGGGGGGGGGGTTTCAGGGGAAGCAAGGCCTCTGAAGGGGCAAAGCTTGCTTCAGGGGTCCTCCCCCCCCACCACACCCCTACTGAAAGGCTCGTGGCTACTCACCAGTAGCGGTACTTCTTGCTCGAATCATATGGTACAGATCACCCTGATTATACAATTCCCTTTGCACCAATCCGGCACCTCCCGGCAGGAGACGCCAGCATCATCTTGGAATCCGCCCCACAGGTCCTAAACCGCTTACACCCTATGTCCCATGAACCCTATAGCCCCCTGAATAGAACCTTGAGAAAACTAAGCCTATGAACCCCATAAGACCTGTCGACCCCATGACACGCGCAGTCGCTTCAGAGTTCGGTGCCAGTGGTCGTGGGCCCATGCCAGCAGCCCTGAGCATAGACGAGATTTGTAAGCGCTGTATAGTAGTAGTAGTAGTAGTAGTAGTAGTAGTAGTAGTAGTAGTAGTAGTAGTAGTAGTAGTAGTAGTAGTAGTAGTAGTAGTAGTAGTAGTAGTAGTAGCAGTAGCAGTAGCAGTAGCAGTAGCAGTAGTAGTAGGAGGAGGAGGTGGAGGTGGAGGTGTAGGAGTAGGAGTACGAGTAGGAGGTCGCTATTCATTGCCCTTTTAGTACATTTAATATTGGGGCATGAACGTTTTACTGCCTTCGTGATGAATCCAGCCCAGTTGTTATACCGCCCGGTGAATGACAGGTGTTCTTGCGTCCGTCCATGAAGAGCACCCATTATAATATTATAGGTAAGGGACGCACGCTATAATATTATTAATGGAGTACTGCTTTCCGAGCAAATCCTATAGATTCAAAAGAGTTTAGGGTTCAGGGCTTACGCCCCCGCAAGCTCAATCATCCTAAAAAGGGTTTCTACACTCCGCCCCGCACCAGGAAGGAGATGATGCTTCTTGCCAACATCAGTGCGCCCAGAGGCGGGTGCTGCAGTTTTTTGTATACACTACGTGGCTTTCATGGCTTCCAGGTCCAAGTTTGAAGTCCGGGGTCCTACAATTCATGTGCCGACCTCTGTGCACTTTCTGGTGGGGCTTATGCATAGGGCAGCTGGAATTCTGTCCCCATTTCAGTGGCGTGTAACTTCAGTTCTGGCTACGCAATGAGTCGAGCCTTCAAGCTCTGCCGCTCACCAGGCCGGGCATGCCTGCTTGAGAGTTTAGGCCAAAGAATACGCATGGTTGAGGGGCAGCAGTTGAAAAGCAGTATTGGTTCCTCACAAGGGAGTTGCTGTTTAGATGGCTTGATGGGTCCGATAACTTCCAGCTACCCCACGTCCGTGCAGTCTGTTGACTCTACATGGATGCTAGGCCCTCTAGGCCCACCCAGAACCTTCACGGTCCGAAGCCCTTGATAAGGCTCCCTTCAGCCCCTTTTCAGCCCTTTGTCAGGAGAGCTGTCGCTGCTGCTGCGCCAGAGCCCCACACAAATCAGATGCCTTATTCAGTATGCTGTGCTGTGAGCAGATAAAGGCCTCCTGGGTTTAGGATTTAGGCCAGGCCGCCTAGGCCCACAGCAGGATATATCCTTCAGTTCGAGTTTGGGGTTGCTAACAAAACGCTCGAGATGCCTTGTGGCCCTCTCACAAGGACGCCAGGAGTCAGATCTGACTTTAGCTCTGAGAGAAACCTTGTGTCCCTCCTCTTACTGTCAATCCCCACCCCACCCCACCCGTATGTTTGTATGTATATGTGTGTGTGTACGTATGTTTTTGCTTTTTGTTGGGTGGGGGGGGGGGGTGGGGGACGGGGGGGCTTGTGGCTTAAGGTTGAGGCTCGTACCAAACATGAATGAAAGCGACTGAGCGCAAAACAAAGGAATCAGTCAGAGTTTTTTCTGTCATGCCCGGGTCATTTCAAAGGACCCGGGGGCTCTAACACTGTAAAAGCCCATGCCCCAAACATGGAACCCTCGCATGTTCCATCATGACCCCAAAATGGTTCAGTACTCCAACTTTCCGGACCCTGGTATGTAGAACACCAGAACCCCAAACCGAAAACATTAAAGTCCATAGTAATTTTAAACCCTAAACCCAACCCGAAGCCTAGAACCCAAAGCCCCAAAAAGCGAGAACCCACTTCATCATATTAGAACAAATATGTGAAAGAACAAAACAGTATAGGAACAATAGCAAGGTCCTTCACAATCATCAGAATATTCTGAGTAGCAACCAGAAGAAGCATCGCAAAAATGAGAGGAGCTGCACACCATGCCTGTTCAGGCGCGCAGCAGGACTTGTCGGCTCTGGCCGCAGCGAGGCCGCTTGCACCCACTGGGAAGATTGGTTGTTGGACCCTGCATGGGGGGTCGAATGGTTGAATGGTTTTGGGGGTTTATTGAGGGGAATTGTACAGGGTTCATTGTTGAGACTTTGGTACAGAGTTCCTAGTTAGAGGTTGCCCTAATTTACGGCCGTTTTGGGGGATCTTTGTCACAGAATGTGCCTTATTATAGTTGAGGTCACCCCAGAAGTTGAATCTGCAACTCGGGTTTTAGTCTTGAGGTTCGCTTAGTGCTGGAGAGAAACATTCTGCTTGGGGACGCTTCAAAACTCAAATTCGGCAGGTAAATGGGGCCCAGGGTGCTTCTACCGCGATGCGTCGCGTTGGTGGCGGATACACCATGAGCCTCCAAGCATTTCTGGTTTTGCTCAATTTGCCTAAACTGCCACCCCATGGTCTATCCTGAAGCCTCCTGAAACCCTGAACCTCGGGAGGCCCTTCTCCTTTGACGACCTTTGCGGCAAAACTGTCCCACAGCCGGCGCCTGGTGGGCGGAAGAACTCCAAATCCTCAGCTGCAGGCGCCTTTTGCCTTGTGTTTTTGCCGAGGGCGAGGGGGTGGGTAGGGGTAGGGGCTGTTCAGGTTCGTGAGGGTTATGATAACGGGCCATTGTACATTGTGACTGTCTGCGGTCGTATGTTTAAATTGGAAGCATCCTTACAAGGGCATGCGCGGATCTCCCCAGATCCCAATCTGATCTGAATCCTGTCGATCCTGTTGAACGCCTGTCGGACTGTTCCTTTGGTCACCTTTCATCGCCACGACAGAACCCTTAAATGGTCCATGGTTTTCCAGGCGCGCCACCCCTCCCAACAAAATCTGAAGTCCTCAAGCCATTCATTCCCTTCGGCCTTGGTTCTTGGCAGGAATGAGGGAATTAGGGCCCTATATATACCATCTAAGGGATTATATATACATATATATATATATATATATGTATATATATATATGTACCTCATTCCCTCATTCCCTACTAAGAACCAGCCAGAAAAGCCCACAATGACCCCAAACCCCAAACCCCAAACCCCAAACCCCAAACCCCAAACCCCAAACCCCAAACCCTAAACCCTAAACCCTAAACCCTAAACACCCAAAAGTTCCCCCGGAAACTTTGAAAGAGCGCCAGGGGAGCCGGAGCCGGTCTCCTACTTCCGGATCCAGGAGGCAACACCCCTCCTAGGGTTTAGGGTTTAGGGTTTAGGGTTTAGGGTTTAGGGTTTAGGGTTTAGGGTTTAGGGTTTAGGGTTTAGGGTTTAGGGTTTTCGAGTTTAGGGTTTAGGGTTTAGGGTCTAGGGCTCCATCCTCCTTCCTCCCTCGGCTTAGGTGTGTTTGTTTCTTTTCTTCTGGGCCCTGAAAGCCTCCGAAGGATTTCTTTTTTTGGGGGGAGAGGGGGGGGTGGTGGGGGGGGGATGGTGAGGGGGGGGGGGGGGGTTGTATCTTTATGTGTTTCGGGGTGTTTGGGAGGACGAACAACTTCTCAAGAGCCGCAGCGGGATTAGGTTTCTTTTCGGGTTTGGAGATTGGGGGGTTGAAGGGCTAAGCACGCAAGCCCCCGTTCTTTCAATTAAGCGGAGATTCAAAAAACAAAATCGAAAAGTCAAAAAGTCGAAAAGTCGAAAAGTTTTCGGCTTTTTGACTTTTCGACTTTTCGGGACTTTTCGGGTTTTCGACTTTTCGGACTCCCCCCCCAACAAAAAAAATGAAAAAGTCAAAAAGTCGAAAAGTGTACAAGCAAAAAATGGAAACGCGTAAAAGTCGGTAAAGCCCAGATAAGTCGAGCACTTGCTGGTGTGTGAGGTTTTGGTTCGTGGTGCGTAGGAATACCGTTTTGGGTCCAAGGTGACACGGCTTAGACCCAAAACTTACACAGAAAAACTAAGAAAGGAAGTTGTTCCAGCCAAGGAACTTCGCGATTCTCCAGAGCATACAACAGTCTCTTCAACGAACCACTAACCAAAACGTCACGCTCGACCCTATAGGCTTTCAACCTTACGACCTGGCACTTTCAAGCCCAGTCCTCAACTCTATAAACCAGACAAGGCTTCTTCTTATATCCTCAACCACAAGCTGCTGCATGCTGCTCGCTTCAGGCATCCAGTCCACCCCCCTCGTTCACGTTTCGACTTTCAGACGCTTTTCGCAAGTGCTCGACTTATCTGGGCTTTACCGACTTTTAAGCGTTTCCATTTTTTTGCTTTTCCACTTTTCGACTTTTTGACTTTTCGACTTTTCGGGACTTTTCGGGACTTTTCGGGACTTTTCGGGACTTTTCGACTTTTCGGACTTTTCGGACTTTTCGCGTGAAGCTCTTGTCCAAATCCACTTTTCGACTTTTCGACTTTTCGGGTTTCTTTCTCCGCACTCCACTTGCGGCCGCGGACAGCCGTTCGCAATCACAGAAGGGGGCAGGGTGGGGGCGCTGAGAGTCATGGACCCCGCTGTTGAATAACAATCATAACAATACTAAGAAGGTATCAAGGAGACACTTGAGCGTAGGAACCCTGGAGGCCCTGTAAGCCGTACAATCTCCGAAGCCCCAGGCGCTACAGCTTCGAAGCTAGAAACGCCCCATCCCAAGGAGAGAGGAGACAACACCAATCGCACACCCAAAACCCGAAACCCTAAAAAACACCTAAAAAACACCTAAAAACCCTGAAACTCGAAAACCCCCGAACCTCAAAATCACCACTTGCCACAGGGCCTGGAGGCCCCGGTGCGCGCGGCGCGCTCACTCGTCCGGACCCCCGGCTTCTGCACCGTGAACCGTGGCGCAAGGCTGCTCTCAAATGAGCCCATGAAGAAGTACCTCTCTTTTTTGAAACGCTCCAGTGGGATCCTTTTTCAAATTGGGTATTGTTTGCAAATACAACAACCACCGGGCACGGCAGCCCCTCCCGCCCGCCCCCCCCCCGATCAAAGGCTTCAACAACTCTAAGCGCCAGACCCTACTCGTGAATGTAGCTTCCCACCTCGAAACATCGTGTGGTTCACTGTGCTCGGAGGTGCGGGAAACCAATGTTTGACAAGGGAGAAGCTCGGGGGTGTGTGGGTTTAGGGTTTATAGGGTTCCGGCCGAGTCTGCCCACAACCCGACGCGATTGGCGGTGATTGCCTTTTTCTGCATGTAAAGCAAGATACCGAACCCCCCCCCCTCCCCCCCCCCCCTCCCCCCCCCCCCCCCTCCCCCCCCCCCCTCCCCCCCCCCCCCTCCCCCCCCCCCTCCCCCCCCCCCCTCCCCCCCCCTCCCCCCCCCCCCTCCCCCCCCCCCCCCCCCCCCCTCCCCCCCCCCCTCCCCCCCCCCCCCTCCCCCCCCCCCTCCCCCCCCCCCTCCCCCCCCCCCCCCCCCCACCCCCGACACCCTCGGTTTGCTCAGGCTTGAAGGTGTGGTGTTGGGTTTCGGGTTTCCGGTTTAGGGACCATGGGTCCCTGCCCTGTGCCTGTGAGGTTCGCCTCGTGACCATCCAGTGGAACACCTACATCGCAAAGTGGGAACCCAAGATCAGCGCAGGTTAAGTCAAGTAAGGAGGCCTCCCGAAGAACTGAAACCCGTCGACCTCTAAACTCCCCAACCGACATGTCCACGGAACATGAGGACCAATGACACCGCAACCAACTTGCGGAGTGTCGATTGATCGTAGATTGCCGGCCGACACATAACAAGTTCGTTTGATCTCCCAGGTCCCATGCTGCCCTTTGCCTCAGACCAAGTAGGATCTGATGCATATCACACCCCAAACACTGAGTTCCTTACTCCCCTACAGAACCCACACAAGATCTGTAGAATTTCTTGAGCTTTTGCTTCAAGTTCACGACTCAGGAAAGCATGTCGACTGAGGTGGGAGAGCCTCATCCGGAGGTATCAGGCCAGAGCTATAGGGTTTGGGGTTCAGGGCTGTGGGTTGGGAAGAAATAAAGGTGTCCTTGAAGCCGTTATGTTTGTACATTGTACACAGTCCCAAAGCCTCCAGCCTACCATTTGTGTCACCAAAAACACCAACGCTCTTTGTGCTCGCCATGGGAATGCGGCCGCTATCGATGGCATCGTTCACTCGAAACATCCGACACAGGGTTTAGGGTTTAGGGTTTAGGGTGTTGCAGCCACCACTGCAGGCGAAGTTTTGCCACCGTGATTGGAAGCAGGTGGAAAAACGATCGAGTCTTTGCCCTGCTTTCGAATCAAGCATTAAATGTCCAAATTATCCACGTTACGGGCCGACAAATCCCCCAAGCAAAAATCAAAGAAAGACCTTGAGCCTTGAGGAAGCCCGAAACGGCTACCTCGAGTTCCAGCAGAAGTGCGCCGAAACAGCAAGGCGCCAGTTGGGTTTTATTGGGGCTTTTCAGGGTTGTTGAAGAGTTGAGTAGGAGATCTTCAGGATATGTAGGGATCTTAAGGAGGTGCGATGGGATCAAGGGCCTTGAGTTCTGAAGCTGAGCCCTTAGGATTTGGACTTTGAGCCTTTATGTCATTTTCATGTTTGTTAGGGCTCAGTGGGGCTGGGATGGTTGGGTTTCGTTTGCCACTCAGACTAGACCTTGCACCTGTTTCGCATCTTTGCACGCAGTCTGGGTACAACTACCAAGAAGCTCAATTCGTGATGCCCAGTCGCCCATAGTAGCCTTCAGGGTCTGCGCGTAGTATGCACTCCTGGTCTATGTGTAGCCCTGGGCTCCTTCTACACAGCCTACATATACGTATACATACACACATGTATGTATATACGCACACACACACACACACACACACACGTAATGCAATAGTTTTGCAAGCCAAAACTCCCGTACTATGTCTGGGCCAAGCCTGAGCCCTGAACTTTTCCTTCTGCACTCATCGAAATCTCCCAGAATCCCCAGTATAAAGCCTTAGGAAACAAGCCCTAAATCTGCCCTAAATCCCCAAAGCCGTACACATACTTCTGAAACCCATGCAACAGTGAATGGCCAGGCAGAAGCTCCTCAAAGACCTTCGGGAGCGGCCTTATCTCTTTCAGGAGCCGTGGCGTCTTAGGGTTACAGGTTTCTGGGATTCGACGTTTCGAGTTTTGGGATTCCTGGGGCCTTGCGTCTTTCGGGATAGCTGCATGTTGGGGCCAAGGGTGCTCTTCGAGCGCTGCGTTGTGCTTCTAGGCCCCTGAGGCGTTGGCTTTGTGGCCAGGCTTCAGGTTTCGGCTTTGGTTAGGGGTTCCTTCGCATTTTTTTTGTCTTTCGGGTTGCAGGCTTCAGGGCGCGTAGCACGGAAAACGGTTGTAGAGACATTTTTGCAGCTCCGGATAGTCTCAGCCGTTTCAGGGTTAAAGCTTTGGGGTTCCATGATTTCGGGTTGCTCCCGCATCGCGAGTTCGATGGTTTGAAGTCATCGGGGATCACAGCTGATTCAACTTAGTTAGATGTCCCGCACATGTTCAGCCCTAAATATTCGAAACGCCCACGGACCCAACTGCCAAGGTGCTTAAAAGCCAGGACTCTCTTCTCATTTAGGGTTGAATTCGGGGTTTAATATGTGCAGCACACACACACACAGAGGCATCTGGCGCAATAGGCCCAGCAATGCAATTCAATTCCGGAAGGCAGGTGCCATGAAGAATAATCGTAGGCACATTGGTTCATGTGATCTAAGTGACTTTCGTGGCAGTGCTTGAGCTTGCTGATGTTTCTGAAAGCATCCACACCACGGCGGTGTGTGCTCTAATCAGTGGACTGATGTGGGTTCGACATGCTGTTGCAAGCTTGTAAGCAATCCTACATCTGCCGAAGTTCCTACCGCCATACAGGTCCATTCAGTAGCCGTGAGAAGCATATGCTCAGGTGCCAGCACATGTTATAGCGAGGCCTCCCTTTGTGGCAGTGTTGCATCCTGCGTGCTTTGCACGATGGGCAAAAAACGGGCGTTGAGTTTTTCGACGAGCTTCTGTTCACGGTCGAAAGTGTTTTGCTGATGCCACAGGATTTGCTGGAGAAGTCGCAGGCCAAGTGGAGACAAGTTTGGAGCTTGGCTCGCTGGGGACCTGTTAGACAGCCAGAATCTTATCACTTGAGCCGTACATGTAAACCTTAACCGTCGTTATTACTAAAAGCAAGGCCTTCACTGTTCAGGAAGCTTTGCGCAGCAATTTTTCAACTCTCAACCCATCCTCTTTAGGTGGAAGACTAAATCGGCTTCATGGTGTTGTTGGAAAAGGTAAGCGGTGTCCGGACAATGTATTCCCAAGAGGTTCACGCGGGAAGACCCAGCTTGATCGTAATGCCATGATCCTTTAGCCACATAGAGAACTCGTAATTCTTCCACCGTGTGTCAACATCCGGAAAGTGAAAACCACGACCTGTCCTGAATAAGCTACGGCAAATCCACAGGTACAGCTTAGAACAGGCCTGACGTGAGTCTCCGAGTAGTGAATGCGGGTATTCAGAACCTCAAACCCTGAACCGAAGTCTCTTGTCCTAATTCCAGAAGTTTTCGAAAGACCTGCCTGCTGGTTCAAACTTATGCAGACGAGGTGGAGAAAGAGTTCCACCAGGCTCACGTGCAGCCTATTTGCGACCGCGCATGCCTCGGGGGGCAGTCTTTTTCCTGGCACAGCGTGCCTAATATGGGGGGTGTCCGAAGTTAGGTTTACCTTCTTGGGGTCCTTATGATAAGGGGATCCTACTATGTGGGGATCTATATGGGGGGGTCCCCTATTTTCGTAAACCGCCATCTGGTACAGTATCCCCAGAAAAATTGAATTGGCGGCTACTTGCGATGGTTTCAGGCTCAGGAACCTGCGCCATTCGCTTGCCTAGTTAGTGGGCCCGCGGTTGTATGGCTGCCGGCTTCCAAGGTTGCGTTTTTGAAGGATTGGGATGCTTGTGCGTTTGTTTTGTTGTTTCTTGCAGGGCTTCAGTCCTGCGGGAGGGGGAATCCGCCGAGAACTTTGGACTTGAAGGCCAGGCATATAGGGTGCAAGAGCCTACTGCCGACTTTCTGTTCCATCCTGGTACCCCAAAATTGCCGAAAAAAAAGGAGCAGAGCTGCCGTGTCAGCCCTGGGTGGCCGTCAGGGCGGATGCCCCCAAAACCCTAGTATACTGCTACTGCTGGATGGGCACGGCTTTAGGCGCGCTGCACGGCAACTAAGGCTACAGGGACCTGGCGAATGGAGTCGCAGGTGCCTTGTGGGTAGAAGTTTAGGCAGAAGGGTTTTGCATGGTTTTGCGCATAGTTGGCCCTCAATCCTGGAGCCTTCGAGAAGGAGGACGGTTGTGACACTGCGTGCTAAAGGCCCTTGCAGAGTATTGTTGCTAGGACCTAGGATGTGCCGACAAGCATCACGAAGTGCTCCTACTCGTGTCATGTACATGAGCTCTCATTTGACGACTGCTAGCGCGCTGGTATCGCAGCTTGCGCAGCACCTTCGGCAATCGTTGTCGCTTGCCCAGGGCACTTGTTCGTTGTCATTAGTCATCATCTCTCGAGCAAAACCAGGCAAAGCATGCGGACTGTGTGGCGCTATCGCACACTAAATTAGCACCAAGTACCTGCTAAATGTCACCCAAACAGTGCAGCCCTCAAGAGGAAAGGCCCACTTCCAGGACCAATAAACGGGTGCAGTAACGACTTTGCTAGAATGCGTGCAATAGTCGTTTTGCCAACTCCTCGCGTCCCGGTAAATAGATAAGCTGAGGTCTCCCTGATTAGGCCTAAACCCTAATTAAGAAACATGTTCAGCACTCAGATCTGTTTTAACTTAATTACATTTTCCTGACGTTAAACAGTTTAAAAGGAATCGGTTCGGGCTGGGCCACCTGCCGCGCGCATGGGATGTGAGAAAGGCCTCAACAGTTAGTTTCGCCACGACTTTGTCACCTTCGCCTCAGGCCACGCGACTGGGGGCCTGAATAATTAGAATAGGGTTTTGGGGGTTATTAGAGTATACTGAAAAAAGGGACCCTAAGGGAATACTGCTAGTAATTATTCCGACGCCTGTGTTCAGCCCTAACCCCTGACCCCTTTATGAGCCCTCGGCAAAACTTCCAGATCTCTCCACCGAGCTTTTGCAGCAGAAGAAGACGACACACGCGATGAAGCAGGTGGGGGCATGGGAGGGGGGAAGGGAGCTTCAGTATAGACAGAAGTGTCTAGGATCCTTGGGGGTTTAGGGATGGGCTTTCCGGTCGGGCACGAGAACTTCAGGGTTTCGGGTTTGCTGCGTGCTTTTGTGAGGGGTTTGGGGAGTGGAGGGATTCAGGGTCTGAGGCTTCTTTGATACAAAGGAAGGGCAAGGATCGTGCTGGATCAGGTCGGCGCATTATGGACCCCAAAAAAAACCCCACCCCCGCCCCCCCAAACTCCCCAAACTCCCCAAACTCACAAACCCCACAACGCAAAGATTCTACCTTTTCTCGATGGGCATGTGTTGAGGGCTACCGCCCCACAATCTGCAAATCATCACGCTCCAAAGCCCTGAAGCCAGAGGTGTATATAGGTTTAGAGGTTTAGGATGGCTCAGGGGCTTCGGGTTTCTACAGGTTAAGAGGTGTTGTATAGGGGCACACACACACATATATACATATATATATATATATTGTTTTTACTTATTTATGTATTTATCTATTTATTTACTTACCTAATACCTATTTGTTTATATATTTAGATCACCTAGATATTATAAGTTTTAGAGGTTTAGGATTGCTCAGGGGGTTTGGAGGTTTCGCCCCCGGACATAGCCAAGACAGAGCGGGAACAGTTCTCGCCAGGGCGTTCATTCTCTATAGCACAGTTGCAGCAGACCTGTAAGCCCATACGCCCAATCCGCCTCGAGGACCAGGCGCTCAATTTCGTGCAATCCCTGGCTGAGGGGAGCAACGAGGCCGACGCACTTGAACCCCAAAGCTCTGGACTCTAAACATCCCTTGGTCCCCCCTAATGAGGGTATGTAGGGGTGAGAGACAAGAAGAGAGCGGGTGTGTGAAGACCCGTTGGAGTCCGCTTCAGGAGCTGCTGGACAAGCCTAGCCCCCAGACGCCGAAGCGTTGTTGTCTACAGTGTTCGGGTCTAAGTTTTTGGACTTGAGTCATGGGGGTAAGGGTATGAGGCTGATGAGGGGAGTGCTTAAGCTTCTGGAGGTCTGACTTTCTTCTGAGCTCCGCCGAGGGCGCTAAAGCCCCCATCTTTCTCAAGCCTGAAGCCCTGGCCCCCCCAAGCGCCCTCAAGCCCTAAAGCCCCATTCTGCAATGTGTGAAGATGCGGAGCCTTTGGCTTTCCGTGCTTCAATTCTTACTCGGGTCCCTCATCAGAAGGGGGTTACAAGTTATATTGGATTTTTACATCCACCTGTCTCCTACAAGTTTGGGGTTTGGGAGCGTCTGGTCTCATAACACCAAAAGGGGCACCCTAAACTCGAAAACTTGAACACCTGAATCCTTCAACGTACATTGTGCTAAGCAGTCCTTAAACTCCCTGCAGGTATCGCCAGGAGCTGCAGGCTGAAACACAACGTACCTGTCCCCAGCTTTCCATCCAGATCTGAGGAGGGCTTGTGCGGAATGCCAGTGGTTTACGGCTTCGGGAAGTTTAGCTTTGGGAATCACGGGTTATCGGATTTAGGGTGTTCGGGGCTAAGCTAGGCATGTGGAACACCCCACAGACACCTGAGCACTTTTGAACCCTTACCCTCAAGCCCCAAACCGCAGAAGCGAACACCCTGCCATCAGCTGTCGAGGAAGCGAGGAGCTCGATCGGCAGATTGCAGCGGAGAAGGAAGCGGCTTTGAGAGTTGAGGGTTTAGAGTTGACATGATCATGTTTTTCTTTGCAAGCGTTTTGAGGTCTCAAGAGCGATCATTCTTCACCCCCTGACCTGAGAGGTTACAAATACTGGCATGATACTAGATTCTTCGAGAGGGTCACGAGCCAGCCCAAAACACAAGAAGAAGCTCGGGCGTCGCTCTGCTGACTTTCTCCTTGCCCGGTGTCGGTGTGTTCTAGGTTTTTCGCAACCCCAAATCCTACAAATAAGCAATGTTTGTATCATATATCCCAATCAGGAGGCACAGGCCTCCAAAGCAGGTGATTCACCAACGCTAGGGGATAGCAGGAGCTGAGTGCTTGTGCAGCAACCTGCAACGTATCCCCAAGCATCCCCAAAACCTGCCTCAGGAGCGGAACAGAATCATCTGGGAGCAGCCGGGACCCAGGGAGGGAGGGAGCATTCAGAGGCGTAGAGCTCTGAGCTGCTTTTTCGAGGGTTGAGGGTAGCTAGAGTTCAGGGGTGTTGGGGTTATTGTCCTGCGCCCTGTGGGGCAAAGGCACAAGCCCTAAGCCTTTGGAACGTTCTGGGGCATGTTCTGGGGTGTGCGATCCCGGTGGGCAGTTCTCTAATCTTCGGGCCTCTTGAAAGGGTAGTATAGGTGCGGCCCATTGCGTAAGAATACACATGCTCAGTAGTTTTTTGTCATTGTTGGTTGCAGGGACAAGCTGAGTAAGGACCCCCACAGGCCCACAGGGGGACATACTTTTTCAGAACCCTCGACTTGCTTTCAGCTTGCGGCGCGTTGAGTTGCAGAAGGGGACGGCAGTCAGTCGAACTCTGAACCCAGGGCCCGCTTAGGTTTTATGGGGATTCAGGGTTAAGGGTTAGGGTTTAGGGTTTAGGGTTTAGGGTTAGGGTTTAGGGTTTAGGGTTTAGGGTTTAGGGTTTAGGGCTTAGGGCTTAGGGCTTAGGGCTTAGGGCTTAGGGCTTAGGGTTTAGGGTTTAGGGTTTAGGGTTTAGGGGCTCGAGGGGTTTTGGAATTTTCTTCCTATCGCCGAAGGCAGATGCGGCCCATGCTCAGCAACGTGGCCCAGGCACATTGTGGAGCGTGACTCGAGAAAGCCCGCCCAGAATGCAGGGCTTAGGCTGCACCAGGCTTAAGGTGTAATTATAAGAAGTGCTAGCCTCCGTTTCTATGTATACACACACATGATATATGTGTACAGCTGGAAAAGACTCTTTAGTCCCTGCGTAGCCAAGTTGAAGGGTCCCTTGTTCAGTCTCTTCGGGAGCATCTGCGGACCGATGGGCTGCAGTGTTTTTGCTGGGCTTGCCCAACTTAACACTCCCAAGAGGCCCAGAAGTGTGGTTCTTGTTGAGCCCGTGGGTTTCGAAGAGGCGTCCCGGCTTGTTCAAGACCTGGACGGGGAGGAGGCGGTGGTGGCTCGGCATGACTTCGGCAACCAAAAGATGGCTTTTGGGATGTTCCCCCTTATTCTAACAGCGCCTTAATAAGGAGTATAGTACCCCCTATTACAATCCCTATTAAGGACTGTTAATTCTAACGCTACGCGACCCGCCTCGGCCCGGCCCAGCGCATCCGCGTGAGCATGGTGATTCCGCAGCGCCCAAGTCGCTGGACCCCAAGCAATAAGGGTTGGGTTTAGGGTTTAGGGTTCCGGGTTTATGGTTTGGGGTTTAGGGTTGAGGGTTAGGGGGGTTTGGGGGTGGAAGCAGGGCAGGTGGGAAGGGGGGGGTGCAGGGGAGGGGGTGTGGGTTGAGTGCTCCGGGCTTAAGGTTTCAGGTTTAAGGTTTAGGGTTCAGGTTCAAGCTTAGACTCTTGTAAAGCATCCCGGCCGTGCTCACACCAGTTGAGCCTCGAAAGCCCGCTCCCATATTCTGTTTTTTTTGGGTGAAGAAACGGGACGCAGGGGGGGAGGGGGGTGGGGGGGGTAGGGGGGGTGGGGGGGGGGGGTTTTAGGGTAGGGGGGGCTGGGGGCGGGGGGGGGGGGGGAGGGGCAGCGGTTGTGCGGGCTGGTTGGGGGGGGGGGGGGTAAGGGGGGGGGCTGGGTTGGGGGGGGGGGGGGGGGTAAGGGGGGGGGGGGGGGGGGGGTGGGGGGGGGGGGGGGCCTTCCTTCAACTGCATCTGGCGGACCCCGGTTTCCTCGGGGGGTACCCATTTGAGGCACCAAAAAAAAGGGGTCCCAAAAATGGCTCTTCTCACAACCTATACACCTCCAACCCCAAGGCTCGGCGGATTTACAAGGGGGAACATCCCAAGATGGCTTCTTAGAAGCGCGGTCGCAAACTCTAGGGATTTGATGACGCCAAGGGTTTTGTTCAGCTACTTTGGGAGTCTGATCTGCAGACCTTTGTTCTTTCTGCTGTTAGTTGCAACAGTGATTGCAGACTGAGGCCCCAAGCCATGAATACAGGAGCCGAAACAGTAGCTATTCACATTTCGATAGTGTAACCTTAGAACTTACAAACCTGTACAACTCTAATATAAACTACCCGAAAAAGGGCCTTCCTATCAAGCATGCAGTGCAGCAGGGACTTCAGTGTGGAGAACATGCACGCACATGCTAGTGGAACGCAGCAATCCCCAGCTCTTTGGAAGATGCGTGTCGAGTTTGAGGTAATCATGGTGTCCAGCAGGCGGATAAGCTATTGATACCTCAATCAGGTATGCTGAGCTAATTTAGAGAACTGACCATTTACGATCTTTGCTACAGGTCCCCGGAGCTCCCAAAGCTCGAACCCCAAAACACGATCTACCCGACTCTACCCCTAAGCCCCAGTAAGTAGCTGACTCCAACATCGACATCCCAAGACAACCAAGCTATCAGAGGCCTCCTGCACCTAAGAACTCCTTGCCATCCAGCTCCTGACAAAGGCAACATAATTACAGAGGACAAAGGATCACATGCACGCAGTATTTCACCTGCTCCCGGGCCCCTCCCCCTCAAACCCTCTCAAACCTGTACGCCGCAACCAAACACCCAAAACATCCCTAAAGGGCGCCCACCGCCCCTCCCTGACCCCATGACAAAGAGCCAGAAAGATGACGTAAGACAAAGGAGCAGCAGCCCTGTAGCCCAAGCCCGAAGAACCCTGGACTCGTGTCCTAGGTAGCCCGCACGTCCCTGTCGGTGGAGCAGGCGGCCCACGCAGTTTGGTATACAGGGGATGGCCTAAAGCATTACGGGCCTCTGATCGTATCACAAAAGAACCTCCAGTAATGTAGATCGCCCCAGCCTGCGCCAGCAATATGATTTGGGGCCGCGATGCAGAAACCATGCCAGCGATGTTTGGGACACCGTCCGACGCTTCCCCGGAGCGCACGGTCGGCGAGGCTTTCACCTTGTAGTCGACCCTCTACTTCCGTTTTCGCGTTTGTACAAGTCTCCCCTAGCACTATAAAATTCCCCGGCTATCCCCTATACATGTGTAAGTATACACCCTCAAAAAGTGGGGACACATGTAAGCACAAGTCTCCTGCAGGGTGCCCATGTTTTCCTGTGAAGGCACACTTGAAAGACTGTGCAGGTCGTTCGATCCGAGCAGCTTGTCGAGGCCTGCTGGGAAGGTAGTGGCTTAAAATTTACAGCTGCGAACTGAAAGCCTCTAGCCCAAAAACCTGGATTGAGGGAAAGCCAGCTGTAGAATCTGCATTGTGCCACCTCTTCGGCATTCACGCTCTCTGCCCTATACCATTTATATGCATATAAAACCACACACACACACACCCACACACACACACACACACACACACACACACACACACACACACCCACACACACACACCCACACACACACACACACACACACACACACACACACCATCAGGCGCACGCGGCGCACGCGCACGCGCACGCCAGCGCGCACGCGCGGCGCGGCGCCAACGCGCGCGCGCACGCGCACGCGCACGCGCACGCGCACGTGCACACACGCACACACACACACACACACACACACCCTACGCTTCTGGCTGGTATCATCAGCAATTCTGCTGCAACCTTGCTACACTATTCATGTGTAGGTATGTACACATGTGTTTGCATGTATGTTGCAAAGTGTTGAAACGGTAGCGTGTGATGTCATGCAATGTGTTGGGATGACGTACAGCGCACCCGGTCAATCCCAGCCCGTAGCCTACTTTCTGCTCGGCAACACTGAGCTCCGAACCTACAACCACAACCGAAACTTCCTTAAAGACGTTGAGACACCCAAATCTTCTGAAAGACAGCAGGTGATGAGTTTTGCAGATCGCGCCCTTCGCAGCCGCGGGTACCAGGCGTGTTTAGCCTGCAAAGGTGGCATTGTGAATTGTGAGGCCTTGCTCGCTGCGTACCGTCTTACAAAGGTTGCGCAAGAATTTACCGCGCTCCCACGGTTTTGGAGTGTATTGGCCCTCGTGGGGATGCTAGACTTGAGCCCCGATGCGCCCAAGGCCACTCAAGACTTAGAAACATCTTGGTTTTCGAATGGTTCGCAAGCTCAAGGTCTTGAAGTGTATGTGTCGCAATGTGAAGCCCTGTTTAGGGTAAGGCCCCCCCCCCCCCCGAACAGTCGAGGCTGGATTATTGCTCTGTTTAGACGGCCTCGGGGGTTTACATGATTTAAACAGGGAGGCGTTTAGATAAGTTTAAAAAGGGCGGCGATGCCCGGCAATCTTTGTTAAAGGCGCGCCACGTGGAATTTTCTTGCGCCGCCCGGACGAGTTGACATTAAACAGGGGCTCCCAAACAGTCAGGATGTCCTGAGTAACAAAGCCAAGTTGACTTTATAGAGGATGCCCCTGATTAACAGGGTCAAGCAGTACACCCTAAAGCGATGAATCGATTCGCTGCCTCAGGCTGCCTTGGCCCCCCGGAAGCTCCTTCGGCTCATTGAAGCGCTGCTGTGGCCAGATGGTGCTTGGAAGGAGCAAGCCCCCCCCCCCCCCCCCCCCCCCCCCCATCGTCGGGCCGGTGTGATGTGGTGCCCCCTGTCCCTGTCCCTCTCTCCTCCTCTCTCCTTCTCTCTCCTTCTCTCTCCCCTTCTCTCTCCTTTTCCGTCTCCGTCTCCCGCTGCTTCTCCTTCTGCTTCTCCTGCTCCTTCTCCTTCGCCTGCTCCTTCTCCTTCTCCTCTCTCTTCTCTCGCTCTCGCTCTCGCTCGCTCTATCTCTTTCACTCTCTCTTTGTCTCTTGCTTTCTCTTCGGTCAGGTCAGGGCCTGCTCAACTTTTAAGCACTTGAGGCTTGTCGTGTACGCAACGGCCTGGTGGTGTACTGTCAATGCTTTTGTGAGTGGGGGGGTGGGCGGCTATAGGGTTTTTTGGGGAGAAGGCTTGGGTCAAGGTTCAGAGTAGCCTGTTCTACTCCGAGCGCTACTTGCATCTCTTTTTACCCGAAGTTTAGGTGTCGGTAGGCAAACAGGTCCACAGCCGAATTCTATACGCCCTAACCCTCGCCCCCCAAACCGCAGCCCGCCCCTTCTCCGCTGGAACCTGTGGGCCTCTAACCCTTAGACCCTATCCCTTCGGGCCAGACGAAATGTCAGGACCCGGAGGAAGAAGCAAGGCACGTGGCAGCCTTTCACTGGGCTTACCTTCTTCATTTAGTTTGGTTTTGTTCGGATTTGGGGATGTGGGGTTAATGACTGACGCTTTGCAGTTAGGGTGTATCTAAGTCTAAGTCTCGCCTGGTGACTGTCTCCTAGGTGTCTTCCAAAGCCATATCCTGACATTTTCTACTTCGCCACATAGCAGCACCATTATTGTATCCAAGATTCTCTTCCTTTTGCCATGCACTCCACCGCCGGGTGGGAAGCCGAGTCGCTTTCTTGCAGAATAGGCTTCAATGTGCATGCGGGTCTCTTCTTCTGCGCAATCTTCGCTGTTTGCAGGAAAGCCGCCGAGAAGACTGCCCGCAAGGCCCAAAGGGGCGGCTGTGTCTCAAACCACGACTAAACAGCCCCCCCCACCCCCCACTTTAACAGCTGAAACCCTGAGACCCAAACGACTCAAAGCTCCGAAAGCCGAAAAGCCGAAAAATCCCCCAAGCAGCCAACCCATCAATGCTCTAAAGCCATCAGACCCCTGAGGCGCTTTGACCTGGGCATGGCTAAGCCGGAGTTTGGGTTTAGGGATTAGGGTATGCCCTTTTTTTTTTTGGGGGAGGGGGGGGGGGGGGGGGGGGGGGGGGGGGGGAGGGGGGGGGTGTTATGACTCACTGTTGGGCTCTAAACCATGAAACCTCAACCCCACGACCTGCTGCTTTGGGCGTTCGGGGGCTGGAAGCTTCAGAAAAGAAGGGTTTTCGGTGCCTGTAGGGCTTTGCGGCTTTCAGCTTGTGAGTCTCTGAGAAGGTGTTTGAGGAAAACCCAACAATCCCTAAACCCTCTAACCGAAACCTTGGGACATGCCTGGCAACAGCCCGCACCGAGGATCCGCATAATAGCCCTACAAAGCCCCCGCTTTGAACAACTTCCCATGGTTGTTCTTTGAGTTTGCTGGCTTGCAGTCGCAGATTCCGGGATTGCAGACGTCCTTGAGTTGGGCCGGGAGACCTTCTGGATGCGGGTGTTCCCCCTTATGCTGGCAGTCCTAAAAAGGGATGAAAGTACCCCCTACTATAGCCCCTATCAAGCAAGGGGGAACATCCCAGGGTGGAGGGTTTGTAGGGTTTGCAGGATTAATAGGTAGAGCCTTCATCCCGCCCATGGAGGCTTCTGTGGCCAGCGTCCCCGTCACGAGCAGTCCCAGTCTCAAGCGCGGCCAGCAGCCGAAGCCAGAGGCGCCTGTGGGAGAGCGCAGGGCAGAGTTGAGAACCCAGGGATCATAGGGTCCTAGAAGCCGACACACCATCATTATAAATTATACGTAAGCTTTCCTGAGCTTGTTATGTATATACAGATGTTTGTAAAAGTATGTGTAATGATACTATATATATATATATCTATATAATAAACCAAATACTTTGTTAACACAAATAAATTTTATCCATAAACTCTTAGTAAAATATTTACGATGTCATTATAAATTATATGTGAGCTTTCCTGAGCATGAGCCCTGTGACCTGCAAGAGAGAAGAGGGTCCGATGCAGGTCGTTCCGAGCTGTTGTCGCGTTTAAGCTGCCTTGCATGGTCGGGGATTCTATCACAATGCGAGCCCTAAAGAGACCAGATTTCACAGCACGCCCCTACACCCGAAACCCTAACCGGGCGCAGGCACCCAGCGCACGCCCGACGAGCGGGCAGCGAGCTGAGCAACCCAAGGCCACGCCATACACTCAAACCCCTCTTGGCCCGACCGGTATCCTGGTAGGGTTCTTGCTTGGTGCCTTCGGGTTTGCTGGTTTATAATCGGGTTGACAGGTTTGTTGTTCCGTTTTCGGTGGCATTAGGCTTGCTGTAAGGGACTTTGGATGAGTTTTGGGCGCTCAGGCTCGGGTTTAGCAAGTCAAGCCTGTCCGTTGGTCTGGTGTTTGTGAGTTTGGTTCAGGGAAGGGTGTTCAGATGCGAAGCTCGCAGAATTTGAATCCCAGCGCACTATGAGATGTCGTGATCTCGTGATCTGGAAGAACTGCGAAAGTCTGGCGCAGGCACCCAGCGCGCGCCCCACGAGCGCGCAGCGTGCGGAGCAACCCAAGGCCATGCAATACTCTCAAACCCCTCTTCGCCCGACTGATAACCCGGTAAGGTGCGGGTTGCGCAGATTTGGCCGTTTATAACAGGGTTCACAGGTTTGTTGTTTTTGTTTTCAGTGCCACTGGGCTTGCTGTAAGGTACTTTGGATGAGTTTGGCTCTCTCACAAGCTTTTCCGTTGGTCGGGCGTTTGTGGATTTTGTTGGGGTGGGGGGGGGGGGGGGGGGCGCGGTGGTGTTCAGAATCGCAGAACTTTGCATCCCAGCGCACTATGAGATTAAGTGAGCTTGTGATCTTGAGGAATTGCGACGGTCAGGCCAGCGCACGCCCGACGAGCGGGGAGCAGGCGGAGCAACCAAAGGCCGATACACTCAAATCCCTGTTATCACATGTTCACATCCCATATTCCTTCAAAGCATGCCTCTCTGGCATCGCAGGAAAAGTACCAAAAAGAAACAGGGAAATTCAGGAAAGTAGTCAAAAAACCATGAAAGTTTTAAGAAAAACTACAAAAAGGCTGAAGAAGCCGTTAAAGAAACAACGAAGAATTTCCTGTAACGATGTTTTGATTGGAGCTGTGGCTTGAGGTTGAAGGGTTCAGGGTCTTGAGCTAAGGATTGAGGGTTGAGTTTTTTCGGGTTTAGGGTTGCGGGTTGAGCTTCAGATGTCAGGGTTGGTTGCGAGTTCAAGGCCTTCCAGTTGAGGGTTTGATTGGGCTTAGTAGGTGTGAGGGATTGGGTTGAGGTGTTACTGATAGAGAGTTTTGGTACGGGGTTCAAGGTTGAGTGTTTCGGTTTTTTCGAATTCCGAGGAGAGAATTTCTGCACTTTTTAAAATGGAATATTCTGGACCGCGGGGCATTAATGCTGGGCAATTCCCGCAGAAAGCTAAACGACTAAGAATCCTAAAAACAACTAAACTCTTCCAAGTTTTGGTCCGTTGAAATCCCATGAAATGCCAGGCAAATCCGACAGGAAGCTCGAAACACTAAAGAATCTTAGAGAAAGCTAACAGAAACTAAACTTTTCCAAGTTCGGGCCCTGGGGCGGAAAAGGCACAAAAGCTGGGGGGAAGATTTCGTCCTAATTGGCATCTTTTGAGCTTGTTGGCATCAAGGCAAGCAGCACCTAAGCAATGTCCAGTGAAGGATTTCACTGGGTTCTTGTTTGGCTCGTTTAATGGTGCCGTGGTCATTGAAGAGGCACGTTTCAAAGGCATAAGCAATGCGAATAGCCCAACTGACATCCTGGTAAGGTTCTTGGTGCTTCGGGCTTGCTGGTTTATCATAGGGTTCACGTGAGGCTTGCTCAGGTTTAGCAGGTCAAGTTTTTGCAGGGACTTTAAGGGGGGGTGTGCAGACTCGCAGAACTTTGCATCCCAGCGCACTATGAGATTTAGTGATCTTGTGGTCTTGAAGAACTGCGGACTGTCAGGCGCAGGCACCCAGCGCGCGCCCGACGAGCGGGCAGCGTGTGGAGCAACCCAAGGCCATGCCATACACTCTAATCCATCTTCGCCCGACTGATAGCCCGGTAAGGTGCTGGGTGCGCAGATTTGGTGGATTGGAATAGGGTTTACAGGTTTGTTGTTTTGTTTCGGCGCCACGGGGCTTGCTGTAAGGGACTTTGGATGAGTTTGACATTCTCAGACTCAAGCCTTCTCGTTGGTCTGTCGTTTGTGGCTCGTTCGGGGCAGGGATCTGAGTAGGTTGGGGAGAGGGAGGGGGGCGGGGCAGGGGAGGGGGGGGCTGTTAAGACCTAAAGCTCGCAGAACGTTGCATCCCAAAGCACAACTTTGAGAACCCTAAACCTGAAAGCAATCTCTCGAGGTGAAGGCGTCGACCAGCCCGGCCTCCAATGCCAGCAGCCCGGTTGTCTACTAGTCTACTAGTTGCTTAAGAACCCCCCAAAATGAAGATGTTCTTCCTCAGAAGGGAAATATAGGGATTGTTATCGGATCTTAAACAAAAAGTGGATACACTGTCCAGCGGCCTGTGGACCTCTCAAAGGAGGGGTGTCGAGTCTATTGGGGTCTGGGGTGTGGTTTGAGTCTGCCGGGGGTTCGTTTTACTCCCTGCAAGTGACCCCCCAGCAAGTCCCAGTAGCCTAAGCCACCATGGCAGACCTCGAGTCCTAGGGTCTAAGGCCGACGAAAACCAAAGAGCCGAGCCCTAAACCCCAAGCGTATAGGACTCCTACAGGACACAAGAACTGCAGCTCAGAGAGGCATCAGGTCTGGAAGCTTCAGCCTTCGACCCCGTGAAACCTTCACAAGCCCATCCAAGCCCCTGAGCCCTTATTGCACCGTAGAATCCTGATCCTTGTGGAGTCAGGCTGTGTCCAGCGGCACAGCTGGGGAGGCAGACATCTCCCAGGCCCGGCCAGGACTTTGAGGGCCTTGGGCGTTCTAGGGTCTAAAAAAGAGAGAGGGCTTCGTAAAGCGGTGTCTTTGCTGAGGGGTCCGAAAGAGGGGAGGTGGGGGGAAGGGGTGCCTGGCGGAGTGCGTGGTTCTGCGCTGGTGCAAGGGGCCTCGGGGTGGCGAGCTCAAAGTCTAGGAAGGTTCTATCTGCAGACCGCCACCAAAAAACAAGCACAGACATCGATATTACATATATATATATATATATGCATATCTACTGTGTTATTTCCAAAAAATCAAGTAAAAAGAATTCAATGTGTAAATAATGTAGGGCAGAAACCCAAACAGCCCTAAACCCTGATACCCGCAGGTGCCCGGCACACCCCCGACGAGTGGTGGACAGCCGGAGGCCAGGTTTGCAATCCGAGTGTAAATATCCAACCGGGATGGAAGTCCCCCAAGCCAGGCCCAATTGCTGGCAGCTTTGCAGCTTATTGGCTGAGCCGACGCCCCCGAAACTACACTGTAGGGCTTCAATCTTTCAGCGTCAATGCTTTCTTTTCTCCGCACCACCTTACACAAACCTCTCTGCGTCCGCGCGCTGGGGTGCCGTCCTACAACTCGGCCCCTGGTGGTGGGCAAGAACATGCAAAGGCTATAGGATGCCCAGCAGTACCCGTGTGGCCCTATTTTTTGGCTTCGGGTCCCCTACAAAACCTAATGAACCTAAAAGGGTGTCTATTTCCCAGGTTACTGCAAGAAAGGCGTTCTGACAGGAAAAGAGGCCAACTGTGAAGTGACCTGGCTATCCCTGATCACGTAGCTTTGTAAAGCTACGGCGGTGTCTTTTGTGCTTCGCACTTCTTCGTCATTCCGCTAGTCTGGAATGTAAAGAAAGATCACCTGAGAGACTTTGGGGGATTCGGTGCTGCCCCTTGAACCCCCAGACACCCCAAAGCAGGTGCCCAGCACGCCCCCGACGAGTGGCGTAGAGCCGCAGGCCAACTGCCAGCAGGTTTTAAGTATCACAAAAGATCCGGGCAGAAGTCTCCAATGTTGAGGTCCGTAGACAGGTCTGTAGCTTGTTGCTTGGGGTGAAGCCACCTTCTGAACTTCAGCAACTTCAGCACTGCAAAGAATTGGGTAAGATCGTTCGCCGCCCGAACCTTTGTTCCACGGTTCCTCTCCCTACACGACCAGCAACATTAAACCTAGGCCCCGACAAATATGTCAACCCTTGGACCTTCAAGCTTTGAGCCCTACAGCCCTTCATACCCCGGGTTCGCCCGCGAAGGCACAAGCCCTGGTTTGCGGTTCTAGGTAGTGCTGGGGGGTTCAGGGGTTCAGCTAGTTCGGGTTCGGTTCGATTCAGGAGTTGGGGGCCTAGGGATTCTTATGGCTTTGGGGTTTTAGGGCCGGTGTCCCAGACAGACACACACACGAACAGACACGCGACAGCGCACGGCACACGCACGCACGCGCACACACACACACACACACACACACACACACACACACAGAGACACAGAGACAGAGACACAGAGACAGAGACACAGATACACAGACACAGACACAGACACACAGACACACACACACACACATACACACACACACACACACACACACACCATATACAAAAACACGCGCACACATGGACACACAGAGACTCACAGACAAGCACAGACCCCCCCACCCACCCACACACACACACACACAAAGAAAAACCACACACACACACACACAGACAGACACACACACACACACAGACAGACAGACAGACAGACCGACAGACAGATAGACAGACAGACAGAGGAGACAGAGGAGACGGAGGAGACAGAGGAGACAGAGACACAGACACAGACACACACACACACACACACACACACATACACAAACACACACACACACACATACACATATACATACACATACACATACACATACACATACACATACACACACACACACAAAAAAACACAAACACAAACACAAATACAAATACAAACACACACACACACACAAATTACATAATACAAATACAAACGCACACACACACAAATACTAATACAAACACAAACACAAACACAAACACAAACACAAATACAAACACACACACACACACAGAGACAGAGACAGAGACAAAGACTCACAGAGACTCACAGAGACTCACAGAGACTCACAGAGACTCACAGAGACTCACAGACACAGAGACGCGGAGACGCGGAGACGCGGAGACGCAGAGACGCAGAGACACGCACGCGC